GGAATACGTGTGCTGGCAGCAGAGAAAATTTTTCCCTTCAGGGAATTCTTGGGGGCTCTGCGAAGGAAGTAGGCAGGCATACTTAAGGCAAAAAATTTTACGTACCTACCTAATCGTTTTATGGATAGTTAGTTAGTGCTTTAATGTAGTTCAATGTTCAATCCCCAAATTATCAACCCCTATATTTTCAGAAATAAAATCGCCTGCTTACTTCATACCCAGAGCAGTTCAAGATCATTTCAAAAAAGATTCAAATCAAAGATCATAGATACTTTTCATTTGGACAAACGATTTAAATCAAGGATCGAATTGTAAATGAAGAAAGATTTAAATCAAAAATCTTTCTTATATTTAAATCTTTTTCACAATTTAAATGATTTCAGGAAACATTCAAATCTTTACGAAACATTTAAATGAAATGAAACTACTTAGGACTTAGGTTAGGTATTCATAATTTCGAAAAATAGATTAGAAAATGTAAAAAAATTATGTCAACAAATCTGAAACTCAAAACATCCTATAAAATGAAAAATGCGGAAAAAAAAACAGCATTGAAAACCATACTATAAAGTTAGGTAATGATTCTCTTCAGGCAAACAAATAACATTTGATAAAATTACGTTCGCAATTTAAATTGAGTTCTCCTTAGAATGTTCCAAGTTATTTTTCCTGCGGAAAAATCCATTTAACACATTTGAGTTAGGTTTTCTTACTTCATCTCAGTCCATTTTAAACTGTTTATTCCACAAGGAATAAACCTTTGGAAACGACAACAAACCGCTCAAAACCACACAGAATTTATAGAAGCCAGAAATAGTTGCAAAATTACTATTGACTCCGCTAAAGAAACATACAATCAAAGAATAAAAAACAGGTTGCTGAATTGTCCAAGTAGTTCTAGGTCTTTTTGGTCTCTTGCAAAAGCTGTTGGATCTAACTTCACCAAGTCATCCATACCACCACTTACAGATAAAAATAATCACTTAGCCACAACATCAGAGGAAAAAGCCAATATGCTTGCCCAAATGTTTTCCTCCAACTCCAACCTAACAGTGCCAAACGGAAAAACTCCACCGTTCATTGAAAGGGTTTCCCATAGTATGCCAGAGGTACACTTTTGTCACAGAGAAATACGAAAATCCCTAAAAAAGCTGGATACAAACAAAGCAATGGGTCCGGATGGCATTCCCGCAATAGTACTCAAAAATTGCGCCAACGAACTCACCCCAACTTTCGCTAAATTATTCAATTTGTCTTACAGGCAAGGAGTATATCCATCATCATGGAAGTCTGCCGCAGTACAACCCATTCCAAAGAAAGGAAAAAAGACAGATCCGTTAAACTATAGACCAATTGCTCTACTTCCGGTGATATCAAAAGTAATGGAAAGAGTTGTGAACAATCACCTAACCAAGTACTTGGAAAAGTACAAAATTATCAACGATAAGCAATACGGATTTCGAAAATATAGGTCAACTGGCGATTTACTTACATACGTCACTCACTTATGGCAAAAAGCGATTGAGTTGCGGGGTGAAACAAGAACAATTGCCTTAGATATATCTAAAGCATTCGACAAAGTTTGGCATGAAAATCTGCTCAACAAGCTCAAAGCAATGGGATTATCGCCGAAACTTTGCACTTGGTTTGAAAGTTACCTAAAGGACAGATCCATTTATGTTGCACTGGATGGCCAGAACTCCAACTCTTACCAAATAAATGCTGGTGTGCCACAGGGAGCAATCCTTTCGCCAACTCTTTTCCTGATTTACATAAATGACCTCATAGATAAAACAGTAAATCCACTTTATTGCTTTGCAGACGATGGCAATGTAGTCTCCTCACTCATACCACCCACAGGTCTTTCCGCACGTGAATTCCATCATCTTAGACTAACTCAAATATCGCAGATAAATAACGACCTGGAGATAATAGAGGACTGGGGTAACAAAAACCTTCTACAGTTCAACGCGCAGAAAACCCAAGCAGCTCTGTTTTCAAAAAAGACCAGCACCGGTGAGCCAAACATCATGCTATCTGGAAGTGCTGTCACATTACAGAGTCAGTTGAACATCTTGGGGGTTACTGCAGAGACCAACATGTCTTGGCACAGTCACGTGGCAGATATTGCTAAAAGGGCCTCCCAAAAGCTGGGGGTGCTATTTCGTACAAGACATCTGTACACACCAAGCCAATTGCTGACACTCTACAAAGCCCAGATTCGACCAACTATGGAGTACTGCTCACATATATGGAGTGCAGCACCCAAACATACCTTAATGCTTTTGAATACCGTGCAAAAACGAGCTATCAAGCTGATCAATGACCCCGCACTTACTCGTAACTTGGATGGTCTCGAACATCGCAGATCTGTAGGCGATTTATCTCTCTTCTACAGGTACTATCACGGAAAATGCTCTGAAGAGTTGGCACGTATGATTCCACCGAGAGTAGCACCTACCAGGCGAACCCGTCAAACAGACGGTAACCATGAATTTACTGTCAAACTAGAGGCACCAAGAACCTCATTATATCAGAATTCATATCTCTGGAGAACAGCATCGCTGTGGAATAAACTCCCTGCGACGGTTTTCCCTGCAGGTTACAACCTGAACCGTTTCAAGACCAACATACACCGACATTTCCGCGCACTTGCCGCTTCTCGAGCGTGATAGGACATTTCCTTGCGAGTGCGCATATCCGTAAAAAAAAAAAAAAAAAAAAGGTGTTTTTTACGTTGCAGGAATCGATCATAATAAGAATTATTATGAAAGTTTCTCATATTGCCTTAGTACATACATATTTATAATCGAGATAATGATAGTGTGTAGCAGTAGCCTAGCAACAAGCCAACTTTATGGTAAATTGTTGATTGTTGATTGATCAAATTTCCCGTTTTTGTTTTGTTCTTGGGTCCTTTATGTTCCATAAAAGTTTGATTAGCGCCATGATACATATATTTGCATTATGATACAAATTTTTCACTGGAATCGAGTTATTTTTGGATTGTTTCTGTTAGTATTTACAAGAAGAAACAACAAAAAATACATAAATTCGCGGTGCGCGTGGGGGAATTTATGCGCAAATGATTCTAGATCTTGATTTTCAAAATTGCCAATGAGATGGCACCACCAGCTGGGAATTTTAAGGGAAGTTTACTATTCTTAAAATAAATACCTATGTATTTCCTTTATTAATGGGAGCAGAAAAAATAGTGTAGGTATAAACTCAGGTATAAACAACTCTCATATAATTGCCATCAATACACTCGCATGTTATATACGAAACTCCGCCTGCGGTTCGTTTCGTATCCTACAACATGCTCGTGTATTAATGGCTATCATTATATAATCATTTCTACTTATTGAAGGAGTTCAGTTTCACTTCAATTTATCTTTTTTTGTGATTTTTTGACGAATATAGCGAGAAATTTAACGTTATATACCCTAAATTATTACCACATAGTTCCATAACTTTGAAAGAATTTCAAAACTTGCATTGACCGTTCAATTCTTGAGTACCTACCCAAGTTGTGTATGGCATCCACATTACTTACTTGATACATAAAGGAAAATTAGAAAGAGTTCAGAGAAAGTTTTTTAGTGGAATAGGTTTTAGATTGGGTATTATGAGGAGATAAATTGTGATGAGATTATGAAACTTTTAAATTTGCCATCTTTAGAACATAGACGAATATCCTTTGACATATCAATGTTATATAAAATTATTAAGAACTTTATATATAGACGCACCAGATCTTCTTGCAGCTGTTGGACTTCGTATTTCTCCTAGTAATGCGAGAACCAGCTTTCTTTTTAATATTGATTTTCCATGGGACAAACTATGGAGCGAACTCTCGATTGAGTAGGATGTGTAGGTTGACAAATGATGTGTTAGCTAGAAATCACAATATTGACATATTTGCGGACTAGTAGATTTAATGAGAAAGTAAGACAAATTGTATACAATTAATCCGGCATTTTGTAATTTTGAAATCTTGTTATACTGTAAACTTGTATTTTAATGTCTAGTATCACCGTTTATTGTTATTTTAAATTATTTATCTTTGACTACTGCTAATCATGTCCCAGCTTTTGCTGTGCTTATTTATTTTATTGTAATTGCTAAATGCGTTAATAAAATTTTGAATTTTGAATTTTGAATTTTGAATTTTGACGTCGTGATTACTTTCACAACGCTACCATGAGGTTATAAAAATTTTGAAGTGATATACGCGTGACAGGACAAAGTTACTGGGACTTTAAAGTCTTTGCGACTTTGAAGTTATTTTACAATAGTAGGTACCTAACAGTCCTGTTCCATAAACTTCAAAAAGATACCTTAGAAGTACTAAAACTAGTAATAATACTACAAATTGACCAAAAAAGTCTGAATAAAAGTAGGAAAAACCAGAAACACGGTTTTTGTAATAACGACTTATTCGAAGTTCCGATATCCGCTACTTTGATGCTGCCTGAGGCATACAGTCTTTTTCTCTTTCATTCAAATAAAATTTACATTATTTTCATTAGCAATTGACCAATTAATATTTTCTGGATGGGAATGATAGGTAAGTATTCAATTTTTCACATATTTTCCAATAATTTATGTAGATAGGTACCTAGTGAATAGAAAGTAATTTTTGAATATTATATACTTATAGGGGATGTTTGTGATGGACTTTCCAAATAATTCTCAATACTGTTACTTCGTAAATTTCCTTCAACAATTTCACCACTTTTCGGCAACACTCTTCGACACTTGGCGGCAAGTTCAAATAATTGTAAGTAAAACAACCTACAAACATTCTGTGAAAGAAATAAATCCTACTGTTAATTTTGAATAATTAAAAAATATATTTGTTCCGAGTTTATATTACGGATCTGTCGGTTGTTTACGAGAACCTAATCAGCTGTTTGCATAATTTTTGTTTTTCTTTTAAAGATAAAATATGATCACTAAAATCCAGTGACTAGGTTATTTCTTGAAAGCTTTTAAAAATGGTTCTAAACAAAATTCATCCTACCACGTTTTTGAAATCGAGCAAAAATTTGCAAAATGCATATCGTGAGTGTATACTATCTATCCACTATTTATTAATATATTGCTAAAGTGAGTGTTATTTATTTTTAATTGTTGCACTTTTTTCTTCAATTCCAGGACTGCTGTCTGGCAAATCACCCCAAAAAGGTAAGTTACACTTTTACCTAATACTCGAGTATGTGCGACATTAATTTTCCAAGAAACACGATGATTTGATTTTGACTTGCCACATTTACTGTACCTACAGTACCGGATTCAACAAAATAAATTTAATTTTTAGTGGCGTTCAATTGGGAAGATCCTTTAAATTTAGAATCTCAACTAAAAGAAGAAGAGAAGCTTATTCGGGATCAATTCAGGAACTATTGTCAAGAAAAGTTGATGCCTAGAATAGTGAAAGCCAATCGTCATGAAAGTAAGAATCGTATTTTTAATTTTATTTCAAGATGTATGCAAGTTGGTATATTAATTTATTAAACATTTATCAGTTTTGTGGTCGTGTAAATTCTAAATAGCTTCAAAAAATCTGTTAGATGATTTGTTGTTATATATTTCAATAAACAAAATTAATTTTAATCTTCTGTTTGGGAAATAAGGATTGCAAAATATAAATATCGTTGTTAGATGTTTCTTTAATGTTGCACAATCTTTATATTTTTATACATTTTGAAAACTTATGGTTTTTTTTAAAATCTACCTTTATTATTTTTGACTGGCCTATCCAAGTTATTCTAGAATTTTCCGTTTAGGTGGCGTATCTAGACGGGTGTCTAGAAGGTCTGTTCATGTTTTTTATTTATTAAATAATTTCGGTGTGGCGACAAGAATCTTTCACCGCCTTCAGCACTTTTCTACTCTTTTATTTTCCATTTATTGCACTCCGGTTTTATAACGTATTGAGGAGAAAACCATCTGGAAAGTTTTAACCTCCAGCTAAGCTAATGCGAGAACAAGTAAGGGAAGTATTAATTAGGAACTTCGAGCAAATCCGGGAATGCTTGAGTGAATGAGTTGAGGGAAAAATTCTTGGGGAAATTTGAAAAACTATGAAGAAGGCAGGAATGAATTTCAAACAAAGTCAACAGCAGCAAGTCCGAGAAATATTTAAGAACCAAATAATAGAAATTTGAATAGTTCACCATTGGGAAATCTTGTGGTTTAGACGGCATTGCATCAATTGTCCTAAAAACTTGTGCGCAAGAATTGGCTTTAAACTGTTTTCACTCACTCACAGTCGAGGCTATCTGAAAATGTGCCAGAATGCAGTCCATCCCGAAAAAGGGCAAGAAAACTCTTCCTAGGAATTAGCGTCCCACTTACATCCGTACTTTCGAGAGTAATGGAAAAGTCAGTCAACATGAAACTGGTTAAATACCTCAAAGCCAATAAGCTCATCATGACTGACAAACAGTACGGGTTTCGTTCTAAAAAATCAACAGGGGATCTGCTGGCCTACGTCAGTCAGAACTCGAGTCTCGAAAAATATGGCGAATCCAGAATGGTGGCATTAGACATCTCCAAGGCTTTTGATCAGGTGTGGCACAAAGGTCTCCTCAGCACACTTCCATCGTATACGGTCTTCCGAACGAATTTTGCCATTAGCTGGGGAATTTTTTTGGAAGGCAGGTCATTGCATATTGTGGTCGATGTTGTGCGTTCTGATACACTGCCTATAAATGCCGGCGTTCCCCAACGCTCAATTCTTTCCCCAACACTGTTTCTTATTTTCATAAATGATTTGTTAAATGTAACAAGAAACCCCATATACAGTTTTGCGGACGCTAGTAGCTTGATGGCATCTTTCTCTTCTGACAAACCGCTTACTGCAGCCACTCGCCCGAGAACAGATTCACTCTATCAACAGTGATCTTGACATCATTATCTGGGGCGTTAACAACCTAGTCACATTCCATGCTTCCAAAACTCAAGCCACAGCATCTCAAATAAAAAATCTTCCGCTCATGATAACCCAGTTTTAAGGATGTCGGGACAAAACACCTTCCTATCAATCCCTCAGTATCTCTTCTTGGGGTGACCGCATTGATCAACCAAAATGTCCTGCCATGACCATGTATATTCGATCGCCAAAATTGCTTTTTAAAAATTAGGTTTTCTGTTTCGGGCAAAAAGCTATTTTACTGCTGAACAACTTCCTCTCCTTTATAAGGCTCAAATCAGACCTTATGGAATAATGCTCCCACATCTGTAGCGATGCTCCCAAGCATTCGTTGGCTCTGTTAGGTGCAGTACAAAGAAGAGCAATCAAGATGATCGATAACCCAATTCTCACCGATTCATTGCAGTCTCTCGAACATAGACGCAAGGTGGTTGACTTATCGTTATTCTATCGCTATTACCATGAGAGATGTTCTAACGATCTGGCCAGCCTCATTCCAGCTACGAGTTATTTGACAATCACAAGAACCTCACGGGCATCCCATCCGTATGTGGTGAAGTTGGCTACCCCGAGGACCTCTTAATATGGGGCTTCTTTTTAGTGGCGTACTGCCCACCTCTGGAACTCCCTGTCTCCTACTTTATTTTTCGAACGATTTAACCTAAACGTGTTCAAACGAAGGGTATTAACCGTGTGTGGCTTAACTGATCATAATGGAACTTGAAATTGAGTATATCTGTCAAATGTCAAAAACAGTTTTTTTTTATAGATTTTTGTTTTTTAAAAGTGTATGCAAATGTATATTATAGAATGGTATACCTTCAATGTATGATTGGTGGCCTCTATCTAAAAAGACTCCTCAAATCAGGCTGATAAAATTAACAGTCCATCTTTTCCTTCCCTCAAATTGTTTTCTTAATGTTGTTTTATCTTAGTCTTTCACAGGGAAATCATGGAGGAAATTGGAGAAATGGGTGTTCTAGGTTGCACAATCCAAGGATATGATTGTGCAGGAGCCTCTAATATAGCCTATGGATTACTCACTAGAGAAGTTGAAAAGGTAGATAGTGCATACCGATCTGCCGTTAGTGTCCAATCATCATTAGCAATGGGAGCTATTTATATGTATGGATCTGAAGAGCAAAAGCAGCAATATTTACCTTTGATGGGTAAAGAAATTTTCCAATTTGTTTTATTGTATTATATAACCTTCTTCCGAATTTAAAAAATTTCTAGCCAAAGGTCAGCTTATTGGATGTTTTGGCCTCACAGAACCAAATTATGGAAGTGATATTGGAAATATGGAAACTAAAGCCAAATATGACTCAGCATCTAAAATGTACACGTTAAATGGAAGTAAGACATGGTAAGATAATCAGTTATTCGTTTTCCTCAATTGGAATTGGAACTGGATAGCTCTACGAAAATTTCACATAGATACGCCCCCGTATGAACGATAGTCATCGGATCTAATTTTGGATCAATACTGTGGGGAATTTTTGACTATTAAATGCGTCACAGCTGGGTTCCTATTTGAGCCATTTTTGATGGAGAATTGAATGGTCTACCAAGGAAGTAGTCAATGTCAAATGTTTCTCATTGAACAGTAAAGCATCAATGATGTACTTCATTGGTTTATACCGGGGCTACCGACTATTGCGGTGAAAAATTTATCGTAAGCATTTCATTTCTTCTGTCAAATTTGACAGTTCAACATAGAAATACCTAAGTACTGGTTTTTGATTTTCAACTGCAACCCATCACAATAAATCTATACGATAAACATAAGCCTATTTCCAGAAAAACGGGAAAAAGCTTATAAATTAAAATCACCCTTCCGATAATATATCTTATTGATAGAGCGTTGTATTAAAATACAAAAAAAACAATTAGGCTCATCGATACTTCGCCGCCCTGAGTGTAGTCAACAATTATTATTGGGAGAAATAGCTAATCATATTAATTTCAGGATTACAAATTCGCCTGTAGCGGATATATTGATCGTGTGGGCAAGATGTGAGGATGGCAAAATTCGTGGATTTATTATAAACAGAAAAGAACATGGCGATGGTTTGAGTACACCGAAAATTGAAGGAAAATTCTCCCTTCGAGCATCAATGACTGGGATGATTTTAATGGATAATGTAAAAGTGCCTGAAGATCATCTTTTGCCTAATGTTCAAGGAATGAGCGGACCTTTCGGGTGTTTGAATAATGCGCGGTACGGAATTGCCTGGGGTGCTTTAGGTATGCAAAGGAAAATTTTAAATTAGGAATATATCAGGTGAACTAAATAGTTTTGTAATAAGCGATTAGTTCTCACAATTATTAACAGTTTAAAAATTGACCACTTCGGTAAAAATAAATCGATCGCTAATTTATTCAATTGTATATCATAGTTTAGATTCAACTTTGGTATTTTAGGGGCAGCAGAAAGTTGTTTGTCGATTGCTAGACAATATACATTGGAAAGACATCAATTCAAGCGTCCTCTAGCGCAAACTCAATTAATGCAGAAGAAATTCGCTGATATGATAACAGATATTTGTTTAGGCCTTATGGGATGTTATCAAGTTGGTAGACTTAAAGACAAAAATTTGTATGTACATTCATTTGTTAGGTAACTCTTAGACTCGATTGGTTTTTTTTTCAGGCACACTCCTGAAATGATTTGTTTACTAAAACGCAATAATGCTGGAAAAGCGCTAGATATTGCAAGAACTGCTAGAGATATGCTTGGAGGCAATGGGATCCAGGATGAATACCATATTATAAGACATGTAATGAATCTAGAAGCTGTTAATACTTATGAAGGTTAGTAGGTTTATATTTCTAATGAAGATTTTGATAGTTATTCACTCATATTTTTCAGGAACTCATGATGTCCACGCATTGATTCTTGGCAGAGCTATAACTGGATTGTCGGCGTTTTAATTCTTTAATTTGGGTATATTTTGGTTATACTTATGCTTCCAGTGTTTATTATATTTTTATTTGTTATAGGTACTCAGATATTTTTTATTTCAATTTGTAAAATAAAAGTGCAGTTTGATTAGGGCTCCCCGAGCCACTAGGTATGACTAAATCATCCCATTTGAGACTGGAGGGGGTGGCTCTGCGGGCTAGGGACTTGAAAGAAGGAGAACTTGAAGTTTGCATAGAAACTCATCCCCCTCCAAATTATAGTTAACGAAGATTTTTTTTCTAAAATTTTCCGTTTCTGAGATAGATAATATAGTCCGTCGGATAGCTCCTCCTAGGATGCATAAAAAAAATCGACTTCCAACCAAATGGGACCTTCCCCATTTGAAAAAGCATGTTTTTTTTTACATAGGAAATGGAAATTGACGACACTCTCCATTGGTCCAGATGAAAGATATAGGCAAAAAACTGGATAAATATTGAATATAGTTTTTTTTAATTTGAATCCGCATAACTTTTGTTCAAAGGAAGATAGAAACAAGTTTTTTTTTTAGTTCGATTCCTCATTCAATTTTCTTTTTTCTGGTGTATATTTATTTTAAAAAATTCATTCAACAAGTTGAGAAAAACAACAATATTAAACAAAAGGCAGCAAATCAGTAATATTTTTTCAAACTTACCTTGCCGCAACTTCCTTATGCAAGGTACTATTCTACTTTTACTTCAACTAAAAACTGCGCAATTTAATAAGCTTCATTTAGTCTCGATTAATATTGGGTCTATTTTTTGAAATAAAAGCAGAGGAGACATTTGAGCGTAAAGGCGCACGCTACGAAAACCGGCTCAGCGGCCGTTCCTAGTCTTCCCCTCGTGCCCTCGCGTTCTCCGCGGCTACGTTAAAATTACGTAAACAAAAACTTTGATAATAATTAAAACGAAATGGAATAAATAAATTAATAATATTTTTCACGATTATGATTTTTACAGGGTGTATATTTATCCTAATGAAAAGTTTCGCCGTATTTGAGATATCGCCATTTTTAGATATTTTGAATCCATGTAACTTGGTCTACATATTTTTTGTATCAATCATTCGGCTTTTCTTTCCGTATTTTTCGAAAGAATGCATATTAGGAATATCGGAAAAAAAATGAGAAAGGGTAAAGTGTTTACTACCAAAAAAAAAACAATATGTTTTAGAAACAATTCATAAATATTAAATATCTAAAAATGCTGTTATCTCAAAAACGATGAAATTTTGCATAAGGGTAAATGTGGTCAAACAGCTCCCAAATGACCCCAACTATCACCCATTGAAAAATTCCTATCGATGTACCAAACACTCTGTATATTGAAAAAAGTTATTTTATAGTTAACAACTGTGCAATCTTCTTTTTTTTAATATTATCAGGATGAGTTCAATTGAATATTCGTTGTTTTTTTTTATGTTGTTATATTTTTGGGCTTTTTTTTTATTTCTTCCTTTGTATTACACAAAATTTCAATTATTGCTCCTTCTTATGAAAAGCTACAGATATGATTCAGCGTAGAACAATTTTTATGATAAATTTCCCAGTCCATTTTTTTCCAATTTTAGAAAATGAGCTTTAGTATCATCTTCAGTAATGCTGTGAAACTTGGTAAGCCTTCGCATCCAAATTTGCCAAAGGTTTTTTGAAATAGTGTGAATGACAATGTATCGTTTTTTATTAGTGGTGATATTTGTGTGACCGGCTTCCATGAATATTTCATTACCTATTATCAAAAGCTTATGTGAATTGAAAAAATATATATTTCAAACAATTTATATCATTATTTAAAAGTTTTTATTATTTATATCTTTAATTATTATTTACATATTATACATACCTACGAATGAAACAACGAATATTCAATTGAACTCATAATAAGTCCTGAAGAAGAAACTAAAAAAGTTTCGAAAGTTTAACATTATATAAGAGTTATCCAATATAATTCTTGGCCGATATATCCTGTTATTATTGAAAAAAATGGGTATTAATTAAAAAAATGTAACCAAGAATAAATCTTCTTTAAGTTCAGTAGGATTTTCACTCAGATTCAGATTCACATTAATAGTGTCGCTATTTATATTAATGCAAATCATTTTGCATTTGCAATTCACACTACAAGAAACCCGCTCCTTTGCACTGTTACTAAAAAGTATTGCAGTTTTTGTCATTGCAAAATAGGGAAGTAATTTCCCTTATTTTGTCCGGAACTGGAGCTTGGTTCATCATTTTTGGAACCATGAAATTTGGTTCATCCATTGGATTTTCAAATAAGAATGGATCTTTTATGTCAACTTCGCCAACATGACTATTGACCCATATAAATGTTTAATAATTGCATGGGTATTGAGATGAGTATGTTTTTTTTTATAAATATACCTACCTCAGCACATGTAGATTGGAAGTATCTTCTGTCTGAGGCAATTCCTGGGCTTGTTTCTGGCTATTATTAGAAAGTTTTCTCCTGATTTCATTTAAATCGCTGATGTTATGATTTATGTTTAAGAAATTTACAAATTACAAATTTTCTGGAAATTATAATTCCTTCTTGCATCATTGAAGATTCGTGGAGAATAAGCATAGAACAATTTTTATAATACATTTTCCAGGCCATCTTTTTTCCGATTTTAAAAAATTACCTAGTATCACATCCAGTAATGCTGTGGAAACTTGATAAGCCTTCGCATGCAGATTTGCCAATGTTTTTTGAAATAGTGTGAATGGGAATGTTTCGTTTTTTATTAGTGGTGATATTTGTGTGACGGTGACCGAATGTGAATATTTCATATTTCATTATTATTGAAAGGTTCGTGGGTAGAATAGAATAATATTAAATTATTAATCATCAGTATCATCACATTTAACTACAAGCTTTCCATTTATATTTGCCGATAACATATAAAAAATAATTCTGGTTTCAGCTTCTTTGAGTTCTTTGTGATAATGTGATTGCAATGAAGATTTGTATGAATTTGTATGTATGTATATTTGGGATGAATCAAAACCACACAAAATACACAATTTTCTACAAAAATCATCATAACAATCCCTGAATCCCTATTCAAATAAAAAGACTTCAAGAATATTGAATATTAATATTCTTAAATTATTAATAGTCTAGCCATTGAATAGACGCTGGCGCCGGGGTGCGGGGTAGAGCGATAGTCGCCGACAAGTACGCTGCCGCGGCACGCGTTTTTCTACGTTCAAAAGTCTCCACAGGGTTTATTTTAGAAAATAGACCCAACATTAATCGAGACCAAATGAAGCTTATTGAATTGCGCAGTTTTTGGTTAAAGAAAAAGTAGAATAATACCTTGCATAAGGAAGTTACGGCAAGGTAAGTTTAAAAAAATATAAGCGATTTGTTGCCTTTTTTTTAATTATCCTGTTTTTCTCAACTTGTTGATTGAATTTTTGAAATTGATCATACACCAAAAGAAAGAAAATTGAATGAGGAATCGAACTAAAAAAAAACTTGTTTCTGTCTTGCTTTGAACAAAAGATATGCGGGTTCGAAGTAAAAAAAAATATATCCATTATTTATCAATTTTTTTCCCTATATCTTTCATCTGGACCAATGGAGAGTGTCGTCAATTTCCATTTCCTATGTAAAAAAACATGCTCTTTCAGATGGTAAAGGTCTCATTTGGTTGGAAGTCACTTTTTTTAACTCGAAAACTAGAAGGCTTTCGGCGCTCCATCCGACGGACTAATAGGGGTATATAATAACGTCTGTCTTCTAATTCCCGATAAGTATCCAATCATCTCTTTCAACCTGGGCATCCTCCTCCAAGTTACTATATCTCATTTCCTCGTCTATTTCACTTATCTAGCTTCTTCTAGGTCTGCCGCGTTTTCTTCTTTTCCTTGGCATCCACTAGATAATTTGCATCGATGTTCTCGTATCTGTTTTTTTTTTTCGTACATGTCGGAACCAAATTATCTACTACTGTGTGGCTCACATTCCTAATTTTTCAATTTTTCTGGTATGTTATCCTTTCTACTTTTGACCTGCAAGCGTTATTTCAGTAGAACCTGTGGATTTTTAAATGTGGCTTGCCCTCAACCTCTCCTCGTGCCGTTTCAAGACTTGGAATGAGTCAAAATTAATAGGTAGGTAGATATATTAATAAAATTTATTACAAAAGATGTTGAACATGGTTCACCTCCTACATCAATGCAAGTAGGTACTGACAAGTTAAAATTATTATTATTATTTTTTTAATTTTGAAGCATTTGAGGATTGTTATTTATCTCTTGGATTTTGTTTGTTACTCGATAGCAAAGCTCATCTAAATTGTTAACCGGAGTGGAAAATATTGAATTTTTGAGATGTGACCACCAAGAAAAAGTCGCATGAAATTAAATCTCATGATCTAAGAGGATGAGGAATATCCGTATTTCTGCTTAGGTATAACTCAGTCATCATATTATTGGCGAAGCAGATCCAAAAGTCTCTTGTGCGCAATGAGATGTTGCTCCTTCTTGCTGGAAGTAGCCTCGTTGAAGTTTATCATCATGCAACTCTTCGAAAAATGGTGGCAGGATCTTCCCGATAGCGGAGTGCATTTGATATTTCCTTAAAATTTACAGAATTTGTTGTGTTGGCCAAAAAAATAAAAGAAAAATTAGTTACCCATAAAAATCATGGTTTCAATTATTCTTCTTGCATAGGTATACTATAACTGTTGCCTAGATACCTACTTTTTCAGCATGAAAAGGCGTTTAAAGTATCGCATGAGGATTTTCGGCGCTCTATATCCTCATAACTATGCTTTATTGCTAAAAAATGTTAATGTCAGAAGATTTGAATTATCGTACAGAATTTCCATGAGCCATTGGCAATAAAAAGTGCGCAGGGGAAGATAATAATGATAATAATAATAATACATGGCTTTATTGTAGGTAATTCATTAATTCACAAGTTACAGACATAAAACAGTTAACAACTGTTTAGGAATCACAAATGGCGGAGTTGAAGCACAGCTTCCTTTCTCAACCAGAGTATAATAGTACAATCATGACAGAATCGATTGGTACCTATTACTTTGAATCATAAGTCAATCACAAGTCATTAGACTAGCACGGGTGCTAGCACAAGGAAAAAATGTAGGAATACAAAATATAAAGAATAGGTATAAAAGGTTAAAAGTATAGAGTATAAGGAAAATGGATAAAGTTAAACACATTTATACAGACCAGAGAGACAATGGGGGTGATGGTACGAGCTCAGACAAGAACTTGTTTATTAATTTTGCTTGAAAAGTTGCTTAAACTTGTAATCATAGGCTAATTTTTAATCAACAGAAATTCTATTGTACATTTTTGATATTTGGTAGCTAAATGATCTCTTATAGATGGATGTAGCATGCGTAGGAGGAGTGAATTTAGGTCTAAGCTCCAAGTTATGCGCATCATACCAAAACTTAATTCTATCATACAGATAGTCAGGACATCTTTTACAGATCAATTTGTTAAACAGAACCAAACTATTCGTTGCGCGTCTTTCATTCATTCTTAGCCATTCAATTTCGCATTACTTGGCACTCACACCCCTCTCACGGCTCCTAATACCACCATCCACCTGACACTCGAATTCTGCATGAGCTGAAATCTTCTGGTATCGGAAGCCAGCAGACAGGACCCGTACAGTCGTACAGTACATCGCAGTAGTTGTGTGACAAGACAATGGAAACGCACAGCACTTACTTAAGATTCTCATTAACTAGGGCTCGTTGGTTAAATATTAGTTTGATGTTGGCAAAAGCCTTCTTGACACAGTTATTAATATGCCCCGAGAATCTTAGATCAGTGTCCATGAGCAGTCCCAGATTTTTTGCTGCACCACATCCGTCTGAGATCTTGTTGCCAAGACCTAATTTTAAAAGATCTGTCGCCTGTCAGTCGTTGGCTATCATTATTTGATCAGGCTTGAATGAGAGATAAAACTGTTTGTCGTCAGCATGATAGTGAACAGTCGAGTATCGCAGAGAGAGAAAAATAGCATCCCAACGATGAAACCCTGAGGCACACCACATTGTCATGTTCTCACAGGCCTCGAAAGCCAGGATCTAGGGGTCTTGTACAGCTGTCCTCCTATAGACATGACGGTCTAGTTTTCTTTTTTGATGGAAACCTAATTTTTTTAAAAATAATTTTCCATTTGATTGGTTGTGATGTTATATTCGCGAAGTGAATATGAAGGTTTACTTTTTTCGTGATTTGTAATTGACTTAGGGGCTGGCTCTTGATTGTCCGAAGGGTACTTGAAATAAGAATAGGGGAGCCTAGAAAAATTAAAATAATTCTGCTAATTGAACCTCTCCGAAGCAAATAGGATCAGATTTCTATGTAGAATTCGAAAATGAAGAAATGGGTACGTTAATAATTCAAAAAAGTGAAAGGTCCCCGTGATACATGAAAATTAGTTTAGACACTGTGCAACTAAAAATAAAAATTGATGTGTGTGAAAAATATTATAAATACATACTTCGGCTGTGGTCCGAATATAACCAGGGTTGTACGACTACGCGGTCCGAAAGTAATCAATATATTCTGGTTTCTGGAAAAGTGGTTACTTTTGGACCTCTGTTTCCTGAAATCTAGTTAACTAAATGTCAAAATAGTTACCGGCCATCGGATGTCGGTTCTGTTGGTTTTATCTGTGATTTCTTTCAATAATTTTCTATTTCATATTTGCGTTCCCCAATTAACCGGAATTTTCAGTACCTAACCATCTGTCAACCGATTCGGTTGCTTTGATTAACGTTTGATTATATTTGGACCTTAGCCTCAATTACCTTACCAGTAAACACATTTACGTAAAGTTTATATAAATTTGAGATCATTTTTTTTTTAGCAGCATAAGTTTCATGTCAAGTTTCTGTAAATATGCCATGTAAACTAAAGGTACCTAATTGTTTTTATGCAATGTTAACCTTAAATATTAGGTCGGGATCAAACCAGTCGTGTACCGTGTACTTGGCATATACAAATATTTTTTAACTTGGCAAGTATACCAGCTTTGTAATCAGCTATGGCAAGCAAAGCGGTCACACGAGGTGTAGAATTTACAAGTACGCAAGCATGAACATTTGGCTAACAAATGAATGCAATAGTGACAGCCATTATGGAGCAAGAGCAAAATTATTTGTGCATTTCGTTTGAGCGCATCAACAAATATAGACATAGACAAGTCTGTACTCGTAAAGTAAACGAATAGTGATCCCTTTGACTCGGACCATTTTTACCTACATAAAATGGCAACGCCACGAGTGACAAATAATTGTACAAGTGAACCACTCACACAACATGGCAACTATATGTCAATAACAAATATTTGCCACAAGTACACGAGTGGTCTATAAATAACTATCATCGTTTATATTATATCACACTTACGTAAGTTTTTAATATCATATTAACGTGAATCTTTTGTGAATACTGATAATATTTATGTAAAATTTACTGAACCAGAAAACCAAGAAACTAGAAAAGCTATCGGTACAAAATTTTATCCAATTGTAGATCTCGATTCGGGCTTCAAAAAAGGTTTTTTGTGGCACCGACCCCTAGGGCTTCGTTTTCGAGATAATCGGCTTTGAAGGTGTTCCAAAATTTGAGATAAAGATTCAAATTTGAGACTCTACATCTCGAAAACTATTTGAGATGAAAAAATTTATTTTGTTCTTGAAGAGCATTTAGTTCTGGAATATAATATAAATATTATGAATCAGAACTCAGAAAATAATAATTGAGTTATGAGCGATATGTGAGGCAAATGTCGATGATCAAAATTTTTAGGGCCAAAAATGCAAAACTTGTTCACATAATATGGGTGTACATCAGTGTGATATAAATTTTACATCTACGCATATTTCTACGTTTATTTTATGTAGGTAGCTGTATTCACTGGGTTATTTTTCAATTCCATCTTTTCTAGCTCAGTGTATACCAATATCTATTTATGTTTCTAAATAAAATCAGGTTTAAAAAACAAAAAGGGTTTTGCAAACTACTATGTTTACCCTCACATTAAAATATAGACTGTTTTACCACTTTATATGTTTGAACTTAAAAAATTAAAAAGCTCATAACTGTTTGCGTTTTCTCTAGAATTTTTGCGAAAAACTGATTTTCCGTTTATCGCATTTCTGAGATTTACTCAAGATATACATAATTCTATCCATTTAATGGTTCCGTTACAAGTCGGTATAACGGAAAATGAGCTCTTCAAAAACTATTTGAATTTGACAAAGATCAGATGAAAAAAAAAAGCTATTTTCTTATCTCAATTAAAAAATTTTACCTATTGGAAATCGTAGGACGTAGAATTAAGAACTAAAGAAATTATTATTTTGATTAGCCCTGGTATTAATCTCAGTTGAAAGAAAGGGGTTTTAAGAAAGTTAAGTAACAGTGTAATGATTTCCTGCGACATGCGCTTTAAAAAACGGAACATGTTATGCTGTTGCGGCAGCAGGACATAAACGCGCTTTCACTGCACGGCATAGCCGAATCCATTTCTTTCCTCACTGATTAAATTTTTTTACTTGATATCAGTAAATTTATACATTGATCGATTGTGCACTCCTTATTAAAATTTCCAATATATTCTGATAATTATGACAGGCGAAACAGAGGCAGTTTACGTTTTGGATAGGATTGGGATTTTGTGCACAGTTATAGTCGGCTTCTGGATTTTGAAATTTTTTATCAGAGTTATTTATAATAACTTTTTGTCTGTTGCATTGAGAATTAATGCGGTGAATTTGAAAGAGACTGGAAAATGGGCTGGTAAGTTGTCAATCACTTATTTATTCCCAATAAAAGATTTAAATTTGATAGAATAAGAACTTACTTTTGAACTAAGATTTTGTTTTTTGTATCTAGTAATAATAAGAAATAGTCAATTTGTTTTTGTTTAACCGTCACGAAATTGAGGGTTTTTTTGGCAGAAGGATTTTTTTGAAGCACTATACATTCTGGTGTCCGGTTTCCATAATCAGAAATTGTCTTTTTTGTAGCAGTTTTTTGACAAAAAAGCACTCGGATAGAAATTCACAAACTTATAGTTTTAGAAAAATATATATTTAATTTTTCACAATTTTTCCTTTTTATTATGGCATTGTTAAAAAAGTACCCACATTATTATTTGGCAAAGGTATTATTTTTTTTTTCGCTTTACCTACATCAAAATTGAATAGAATCCATTTTTTTTTGCAGTCATCAGGAAAATTCAGATTAATTGATATTATGTTTGGTAATCGATCCTTTTAGGTAATATACATACGCCATTAAAAACAAGAACACTTTCCTAAGATGTGAAATATTTTGATATTAAACAATACCCATTCAAATATCGAGTTTGGTCCGAAGAAAGTAGAAAGTGTTATTTATTGAACTTGACCGCGCACGGCCGGAGGTTGTTAATTTAAAATGTAGAATGGAGAGGAGATGCTGCAAGAATGGTGTGAGTGGCTTCCGAAATCTCAGGAGGAGAATTCTTCACTTCAAATCTTCAACCATACAAAATATTTTATTAATTTCTTCTCCATTCAATTAGAAAAATTAAGTAGCTTGGTACAACACAAATATGAACATTAGAATAAATAACTGAAATAGCTGAACAAAACAAAAATAATTATAATATCTAGGTAGTGAGTTCAGCATTTTTTTAAGTGTGAATAAAATTACTCGCTGATTGTGTTAATAATCCAATACCCGAGTATTGTTTTAACCTAATTTCAATTTGAAATTACGCTATTGTAAAGTTTTTTGTTCTAATTAGATGTACGTATAGTTGAATTTGACCTTATCAGAAAATGCTGACGATAAGGTTTTGTTTGTTCAGTACCTACTACTTATTTTATGTAGAAATGTTTATAGGCGATGTAGGTACCTAATCGTATTGTTATAATTTGAAAAACATTGGTCGCAAATTACCTTATTTTAAAACATGGCTTGATAATTGATTGCGCATTTGAAGTCGAGATATTTTCCATAGAATTTTGTCCGTTGCAGAATATTTTTAAAAAGTGTGGGTATTTTTTCGGCAAACTTGAACTTGAATTTTGTATGCTCTAGGTATTCATATAAAAGATATCTACTCTCAATTTAGTGTAAAATTATTAAATAGTTTATAAATGGTAATTGCCAGAAAAAATTATGAATATAAAATTGATGCATTCAAAAAAAAAAGTTTGACATGGAAACAAAAGGAACCAAGCACGCCAAGTGTTATTTTTTTTTCCAAGATTTACTGTTCTTATATTTTTGTTGATGAAATTATACCGTTCATAAACTATGGAAGACGGAAAATAGAAACCCTATACAGGGTGTTTCACATTAAAGTAACTGCATGGGGATTTCGGAAACGGTTAGAGATGCAATTTTGGTTGATGTGAAAAAAGTTGCGCTTTTCCAAGCCCAATCAGAAGCTGCAGCAAAATTGGAAATATCTACAGAGGTTTTCATATGGAGAGGGGTTTTCAACCATGTATAACAGGCCTATCTTTGGATAACGGAAAATGTAGATTTATTGAAAAAAGCAGTTTTTCACTTAGTTGGTTGTGAAACAAATGCCGTAATTGTGTTTGTTACCATAGCTTTGTAACTGATTGGGCTCGGAATAGCGCAACCTTTGTCCCATTTAACCAAATTTGTATCTCTTTCCGTTTCCGAAATCCCCATGTAGTTACTTTTATCTGGGACACCCTGTATATGTAGGTATTTAAAGTGTGTAAAGCAAAACGTGCATTTTTTTTCATGAATTTAGAATGGTCTTAGCTCACTCAGGCATACGAATATATAAATAAGAATTATGACTACTATGTCTACTAATAAAACTCCTCTTCAAAAGTTTATTAAAAAAAAAACTACGAATGATGGCTCTATAGCGATTTCTAATAAAATATTTTGACATTTTGATAGGTACGCAAGATCCAAATCAAAACAAAAAAATGCGATATGGGTGGTGTTATTCAAATTTCAGCATCTTATATATTTTTTCATTTAAATCAATAGTTCCATTCCATTATACTTAATGTTTTCATATCGTTTAATATTTTTATATTGCATTGAATTCTACTTTCAAAAACAATTAAAATTGCGTAAGAGTTTTTTTATTATTTGCATTTATCGTTATAAATACTTAATAAATGTGAAACAAAGGGTTTTATATCACCTACGTATCGGTTATCCGGCAAAGTAACGTGACCGTGAATTGAAATTAAATGGAATAAATAATTTTATTTGTTAAATGGAAATGCCCTGATGCCCTGATTTATTTTGACACCCTCTAAATATAATTTTTTTCCAGATTTAGAAAAAAATATTTATCACGACAATATACTTCAAATTTGAGACCATTAGGTAATTATAAAGGATGTCCCAGAACGGTCCACAGCTCTCAACTTGAAATTTCTAAATGGGAGACCCTGGGTATTTTATTTAGATTTTTAGATTCCGCGTTGAATTCTAAGGGAAATCAATATGAGATAGATATCTATCTTATCTCAATGTCACCTGCGGCGTACCACAAGGCAGAGTACTTGGTCCCTTACTTTTCATTATGTAAATAGCCTTTCCAAAATGAATTTTGTAGGGGAAATTATAAGCTACGCTGATGACACTGCCATATTCTATACTAGTGACTCTTTGATTTTTTTAAGAATTGCTAAATGGCTTGCTGCGAATAAACTATCGCTAAACATAGCAAAAACAAAATATTTGACTTTTGTGGGTATTTTCTAGGAAAAATTGTTACGCAAATGACACTGCCATATTCTAGTTTAGTGACTCTTGGCATGCCCTTATAGTGCAGTTAATTAAGCATAAAATAGGGTTCCACCTACCAATTTCGAGGTAAGAAGCTGAAGATTGGTATTCACCTTCATTTTGACGTTCCAATAGTTGTCCCAGAAGTCACAATAAATATAGCCAAGGCTTCTTAAGTTATTGCAGGTCAAAGGTTCACAGAAATCGGGTTTTTGTGATTATCTCGGTTCCTATAAAGCTTCAACGATATTAACACCTATTACAAAAGTTAGAGATAATAAAATTCTTAAAAGCACTTTTATTTGAAACTTTTTTTTTTATGAAATGAACCGTTCTTGAGATAGAGCGCGAAGAGTTTTGACCTATAAATTAAAGGGACCTAACGGTGAATTTTTGCGTACACGTTGTTGTTATGGGTCTGAATAATTGGTGAAAGTTTCCTATCGATTCGGTGATTATTTGGGCCGTTACGAAGGATCAAGGGTCAGGAACGCGTTTATCAATATCTCTAAAACGATAGGTCTGAGGTCGGTACATTCCTCTACAATTAGCCGTTCTTGAGATACAGCGTTCTTGAGTCTACAGCTTGTTTCCCCCATTTCGAGAATGGCCCCTCGTCTTTGTTTAAATTTTGCGCTGTATCTCAAGAAGGGTTAATTGTAGAGCAATGTACCTCAGACCAAATTTGGAGCAAATTCATTGATCTATAACTTTTCTCAGAAGAAATTTTAAAAAAAGTTGACCGTGTTCAAGATATTGATAAACGCATTCCTGCCCTTTGACCCTTCGTAACGGTCCAAATAATCACCGAATCGATTCGAAACTTCCACCAATTATTTAGACCCATAACAATAACGTGTATGCAAACATTCACCGTTAGATTCCTTTAATTTATTGGTCTAAATTTGGAGCATAGGGCTTACCACTCTTCACGCTCTATCTCAAGAACGGTTCATTTAATAAAAAAAAGTTTCAAATAAAAGTGCTCAGGAATTTTATTATCTCTAACTTTTGTAATAGGTGTTTATATCGTTGGAGCAATAGGAACCAATTTTCAGCTTCTTATCTCAAAATTTGTAGGTGAAACCACGACGTGACTGGACTAATAAACCGACTGTTGAAATAGATTTTCTTTAATAGGTTATAGCTATGGGTATAGATAAAAGCTGAATATGTTTATATTTAATTTGAATTTTTTTATACAGGGTGGGCCAATGGAAACTTTCCACCCTGATTTTTTGGCTTTCAAATGAAAATTTGAAAAAACGCTCGGACACTTCAATTTTTGATTTGAGGGGGAACTATTTTTCAGTTTTTTTCATCCCCGTAGCTTTAACCCCTTAGCTGGGGGGAGAACAACCCCCCAAGTTTGAATAGGGGATAGGGATCGTGTCATGCCTCCTTTTAAAGGTCTCAGCGAGTTCTTTATGACTCTGGAATTTCATCTTATTATTTCCATCCGCAACGAATTGCGAGCTTGTCAAAATCTTGGAAATAGCCTATTGTTTCAGTAGGAATAAAATCGATACCTACCTGCTTTAATAAAAATACTTACCATTAAAGTTTTTTTATTATTATTTATAATTATTAATTATTATTATTAATTATTAAACATAATAAAACAACTTTAATTGCAAGTATCGCTTCTACTCCTACTAAAATAATGGTCTATTTCCAAGATTTTGACAAGCTGTCATTTCGTTACGGATGGAAATAATAAGACGAAATTCTAGAGTCATAAAGAACTCGAAGAGACCTTTAAAAATAGGTATGACACAACCCCCATCCCCTATTCAAATTTGAGGGGTTGTTCTCCTCCCAGTTAGGGGGTTGAAGTTACGGAGATGAAAAAAACTGAAAAATAGTTCCCCTCAAATCAAAAGTCGACGTGTCCGAGCGTTTTTCTAGATTTTCATTTGAAATCCAAAAAATCGGGGTGGAAAGTTTCCATTGGCCCACCCTGTATACTATACCTAGATAGCTACATTACGATACAAGCAGAATTATGGGACTGCATCGGCTTAAATAATCATTTAATGCCGACATAGCAATTTGATGTTTACTTTACAACAATGTATTTAAAAAGTCCTAGAGGAAAGGGGTAAGCACATTAAAGCATATAAAAAATAGATAATTGATTATAAATCAGCATGGCAATTGGTTAATATAACTTGCTATTGTGAATATTAGTAAATAAACTTTATTATTATTATCTTTTACCATTTTCGAGACAAAAACTGTTTCAAACATTGAACGTAAAGACTTGGTATAGCTACCTAAAGCAAAATTAAATAATAATAATAGGGGTGTCCTCGTTTTTCTGTAGGCAGAATTTCAATAGCTTGTAGAGAAACACTAATTTTGAGACAAAAATTCCATATTAACATATTAAGCACAGACGATACCTAGCTTTTAGCCTTGGCATTTATGTAGAATTTAAAAATCACTGCTGGACCGCTTCTGGTATACCCTGTATAAATATTACTCCCAAATTTGGAAATGTTTGTTTAGACCAAACAACTTTTTTTCTAAGTTTTTTTTTTTGTAAACTTGAAAGAAAAACAGTAGAGGGGGTCACAATTATAGTGAAATATATTAAAGTAGGTAGGTACAGATTGACTGCTCCATTCTCATCTTTGAAAGGTATGCCGCACTTCCACGTGAGCCGCGATTTTTCCACAACGCCAAATTATGGAGAGACCAAGTCATCATATAACCATTCAAATAGCTTTTCCTTACTCATTTCCATACCATCTTTTAACCTCTCTGGCCAAGGTGGAAGAAAACGGCTAACAAAAACCTCTCAACCAGGGTGAGTTATAAAACATTAGGAAGTGAACCCCAGTGAACCACCTTGAAAATGGCCCTCTCGAAGATAGTGGGGAGAAGAGGGCGATAAAAGATTCGCACATGACTTCAAATTTTCAGGGATTATTGATGTAGGAATGATATTTAAACATTCGTTTAATACACACCTATTTTCTACCTGGAACCACCCAGGTTTTTTTCATTTTCTCCAGACAAAAATGCCCTCCATGAAAATGGTTCACATATTATTTTGTGCACGGCTCCGATACACATGCATAGACACAAAAAGCATTTTTCATTTGTCTCCAATTTCGTTTAAATTTCCTTCCCATGCAATGCATAGATAATGAGATTATCGCAAAAGAGTGGTTGCGAAAACTTCCATAAGGGGCAGGGGTAGTTCCCGGGGGGGGGGGGGGGGGGGTGTTCAAGTAACTATATATATTTTTGGAAAGATTATTTGGTGCGCTGACAGATTTAGGGTGGGTCAAAAAGCCAAAAAAAAAAACTGTTTTTTTACACCTCATTAAATATTATTTTTTTTTTATGCCAAGAGGGGCTGCAAGTACTGGAAAAATGCTTATGGTTTGTATGCATGTGTATCGGAGGCGTGCATAAAATAATATGTTAACCATTTTCATGAAGGGTAATTTGTGCTAGAAAATGAGAGAAAAGCATTTTTTTTTCAAGATGTTAAAAGCCCGGTCCAGAAAAAAAGATACATTAGATCAAAAACATGTTTCAAAGAAAATATTGACTAGGTATTTCACGATATTTTTCTGGAAACTGGCCTTCCGTGAAACTTAACTAATTCATTTATAATACTAATTGTTCCATATTATGTAGGTACGTAATTAACTGGCAGCCAAAACTATAGCTAGTGAGGATATAGATATACAGTGACCGCCAAAAAGTTTGCAACAAATTGGAAAATATTTTATTATTAAGATATCAAAAAAAATGTTACGTGGGATCGATTCAGCATACCCATCAACAAAAAAAATCACTGTGACAGATGTCATGCGACCACAGTCATGGCGGCAAATTTAAAAAGTTCGCCTTAAATATGTGAAAAGTGGGGTTAGACGACCAGAAATCGAAAAATTGTAGAGAGAAAAGTGGTTCAGGATCCGATTTTACGGCCATGTGTCAATTTTTAAAAAGGTACAAGGATTTTTAATAAATATCAATTTTTTGGCTTGTTTTCTGGTAATTTGAAAAATATCGAAAATATTTCGCAAAAATATTGGCTTAATTAAATTTAGGAAAGAGGTATTGGATCATTTAGAAAGATTTAATGATAATTCTAAATTTGTTATTCCAAATTTTTGTTTTCTCTAGGTCATTGCAACAAGATCAGAGTGGCCTGAAAATGAATTTTTGGTTTTTTATAATTTATCGTGGGACAATTAAGCAGAATTACCGCACTGGATTTTTTTTTTGTTAGTTTTACTTTGAATTATGTGAACCAGGCGGAAAGTTTTTGATATTTTTCAAATTACCAGAAAACAGGCCAAAAAATTGATATTTTTTAAAAATCCTTGTATCCTTTTCAAAGTTGACACATAGACGTAAAATTGAACCCTGAACCACTTTTCTCTCTACAATTTTTCGATTTCTGGTCATCTTATCCCACTTTTAACGTATTTGAGGCGAACTTTTTAAATTTGCCGCCATGACTGTGGTCACATGACATCTGTCACAGTGATTTTTTTTGTTGATGGGTATGCTGAATCGATCCCACGTAACATTTTCTTTGATATCTTAAAACTAAAATATTTTCCCATTTGTTGCAAACTTTTTGGCGGTCACTGTAGATATACTATATTATTTAATAGTGGGGATACGGCCAATTTTTTTTTAAAGAAAAACTCTTTTTTCTCGTAGCTTTTTGGAAAAGTCATCAAAAAAATTCTGTCAGCATTTTTGGGAAAAAAAAAGAACACAAATTTAAAATTAATGTATAGATGTAGATTTGTATAACTCAATTTTTTGTAACTGAAGAAGCGAATAAACATAAAAAATATCACGGATAATACCTAAATATTATGCTGCTGATATATTACATGCTAATATATTTAACTAAGGGCAGGTTTATTCACCTTCTAATAAACTGACGGGTATGCAATCTGACAAATAAAAATGCAATCTGCAATCCCATTGGTCAGCGAGTTATCCGCCGACAAACAGAATTATAGAATGGTGAATTTACCTTGGAGATAGTTATCAGCAAGTTTATCTGAGGATGAATGAACATATAGAAATTGGAACAATAAAAGGGATTAAAGAGGTTTATGCTTTGCTTGAGAAAAAAATATCTCATTCGAATAAGTCACATATCACCATACCTACATAATGCCTGTACAAAATGCTCGCAATAGTCTCAATTTGATTGCGATCCGAAAAAGCTTCATTTTTATTTGATGACAAATAAAAAACCATTGCAAAATATGTTTTCTTTAATTCGTAGGGTCTGTGATTGCATTTTTGTCTAAGAAATGTTTATTCTATAAAGACATATAAGCATTAATGTAATAGAAATTTAATATTTAGTTGCAGAAGGAAGTAACATAAGGCAATAAAACTAACAATATATTTTTTTTGTTTTGCAGTAGTTACCGGTGCCACCGATGGTATAGGAAAAGCGTACGCGGAAGCTTTGGCAAAGAAGAAATTCAATGTGGTATTAATAAGTAGGACCCAGGCAAGGCTAGACGATGTTGCTGGAGGGATTTCGGAGAAATACAAAGTTGAAACGAAAACTATCGCAGCAGACTTTACGAATAGAACTGATATTTATTATAATATCGATAAACAATTAAATGGTCTTGATATTGGCGTTTTAGTCAACAATGTTGGGATGAGCTATCCATTTCCTGAATATTTTTTAGATTTAAAAAATAAAGATGAAACTTACGAAAATATTATCCGTGTCAATATATTTTCAGTAACTAATATGTGCAAAATTGTTTTACCTGGAATGACTGAGCGAAAACGCGGCGTTATCATCAACATTTCTTCTTCAGCAGCTCAAATTCCTAGCCCTTTGCTCACCGTTTATGCTGCCACTAAATCCTATGTCGAAAAGTTCACTGAAGACTTATCAACTGAATACAGTCGTCTGGGTATAACGATACAATGCCTGTTGCCAGGCTACGTAGCAACAAATATGTCGAAAATTAAAAAATCCACTTGGATGGCACCGTCTCCAGCCAAATACGTAGATGAAGCCATAGCCACAATAGGTGTAAGAGGACACACTAATGGATATTTTCCACACACATTGCTCGTTGGCGTTGTTCATTTTTTAGACTCTATTTCACCCAGACTTTCTAGGTGGCTTATTGTCAGGACAATGACAAATATTAGAGGCAGAGCAATACGGAAACAGATTCACTAATTAGGGATTCAATTCACGTATTTATTTTTTTGTTCCGATAGATTTAATTTTGAATTTAGCTGTTGCAACTGCAACGACTTGTTAAGTGTTACAAATAAAATATTTTACAGTATACCTATTATAAAATTTGATTTATCACCAGACGTTCACCAGCAGTTCCAAGCTACGTATTATACAGGGTGTCCCAAAAAGATACCGACAAACTGTAAACGGTGGTAAGGGACATCAAAACAAGCATTTTTGTTTATATAAACATATGTCCGCAAATGAGCCATTTGGGCTGTAGAGCCAAGAAACTGTTCGGTACTTTTATTCTTCGCAATAATTAAATCACTGTTTGTTTACAATAATTGTTCAAAATGTTGACCATTCACTTCAATGCAAAGATTGCGCCGTCAGGTCATTGACTCGCGAACCCTTTGGAATATTCCGGGAATAGCTTCTACATGGGTACAACTCGCCAGTATCCTTGCTGACAGATCTTCCTCATTACAAACAGGTATTTCGTAGACTAAACTTTTCAGTCAATGACCCGACGGTGTAATTTTTGCATTGAAGTAAATGGTCAACATTTTAAACAATTATTGTAAGCCATAATTTATTTGTTAATAAAGCAAAATTAATAAGTAAACAGTGATTTAATTATAGCAAAGAATAAAAGTAGCAAACAGTTTTTTTGCTCTACAGCCCAAATGGCTCATTTGCGGACATATGTTTATATAAACAAAAATGCTTGTTTTGATGTCCCTTACTACCCCTTAAAGTTTGTCGGTATCTTTTTGGGACACCCTATATAACGGAGAGACCAACGTCTTTTAGACGTCTGCCTAAAGACGACTTCAGGACTAATTAATATATCATTAATATTAAGTAGGTACCTACTCATATTATATCTTTCAATTTTTGTCTATTCCGAATGTTAGGCTCCTAAAATCTTGATTTCCTTTAAACAAAATCACGACATTAGTTTTGGAAGAAAAATATTGGAAGAGCCAGAGGAGTAGAAATTAAAAAACAAATCAAGAGCCTGAAATTCTAGAATACGAGAATAATGAGAATTCAAGAACTTGGAAGGAAAAAATTCAAGAGCCAAAAAAAAATTCAGAATATAGAATAAAGAAATAAGGAAAAATCAAGAGCCTGGAATAGGAATAATTATAAAAGCTCAAGAATTTTAATTGAAAGAGACATTTTCTTGCTAATATTTTCTTATTATTACTCATTTTATAACTTTCAATTTTTGTCTATTCCAGGCGCTAGGCGTCCTAAAATGGTTTTCCAACTTCTGAATTGTTCTAAAATGTTTTTGGAAATTGTAAATCAGTTTTTGAATGTTTAGGGGCATTCTAAATTGAATGGTTCTGAAATTTCCGAAATGTTCTGAAGCGCTACAGAATGCTTTTGGAAATTCTGAATTGAATTTTAATTGTTTTGAACTTTCCAAAAGGCTTATTAAAGTTCTAAAGTGTTCTGTAAAATTCTTAATGGTTTCCAGTAACTTCTAAATGAAATAGGGAATGAATTCTGTAGAAAATTTTTGAATACATCATAAAGAATGTCCACAAACGATATTCAAGACGTCTTGCTTACATCATTAAGGCGTCTCAAAGACATCTTGAAGACGCCGTATGTTACAAAACCCAATGCCTTCCATACGTCTGCCTAAAGACGTCTTTGGGACTAAGACATTCCAAAGACGTCTTCAACGAGATGTCTTTAAGATGTCTTTGGATCTCTTTTCAATACATAAACCTTTATTCACTTTTAGGCCTGGTTGTACCAAATAGTTATCTTTTAGATGTGAACTTACAACATCTTATGCAAAACATGCAACGTCTTCTAGACGTCTTTTTTTGGTCTTCAGACGTAATGCAGACCTAAAAAAGACGTCCTTAAGACTTTGTGTCCTGTCTGATAGTAGCGTGTGGCTCGCTCTCTCCGGAGTCTTACGAAGCAATAACCAAAAACAATCCGTTTGGGAGCGAAAATAAAGATTTTTGTTTGATAAAGCAAAACAGCACGTACTCATTGGGCGTCGACCGGTGAGATACCACCATGCCAGAATTGAGTAGCGCTAAGTGGTATCACCACGTTCCGCTACTGCGCTGGCAGTCCGGTTCCAACAATGAGTAACAGATAGCATGATGGCGCCTCCAGGATCAAAATATTCCGGAGGTAAAATACCCGACCACTCGGATCTCCGGGCGTCGGGTGATCCTGGGGGTCCCTCATGCAAAGATATAAAGAGAAGATCAAAAACTCAACTCAGAATTGATTTTAGCAATATAAGAGGAATAAGTACAAATATGAATTCAGTTCACCAACATCTTGAAGAACAAAGACCTGACATCCTTGTTCTCACTGAAACTAAAATCAGTTCTGCAACACCTATTGTGAACTATCTTTATCCCGGCTATGACCTACACCACCGATTTCGACATAATTTTGGGATCTGTGTGTACATTAAAAATGACCTTTCATGTCATCGAGAGGAGAAGCTAGAACCAGCGAACCTTGATATCATATGGCTAAAATTCACCTCAAAGTCATCGACCAAGTTTATCTGCTGCCTCTACCGACCGCCAAGTAACACCGATTACCAAAACTTTTTCGCGACATTATCCGAAAGCTGTGATAGTATACAGTCAAACTATCCACAGGCGGAAATTGTCTTTTTAGGCGATTTCAACGTCCACAATATACCCTGGCTGAAACACCACAACAAAACAGATAACGAAGGCAGAGAAGCAGAAGCTTTTGCCATAAGTTGTGGTCTAACGCAGCTTGTCGATGAACCTACCCGTATCTCAGAAAGGGGCGAATTTGCAGCGCTTTTAGACTTGTTCCTAACCACCAATCCTGACTCGTACACAATTCAAGTAGATGCTCCACTTGGTTCGTCCGATCATAAACTTATAATAACAAAGTGCGAAATGCTCATCCCACCAAGCCTACAACCACTTCCTCGTAAAATGTGGCACTATAAATCGGCAAAATGGAATGACCTAAAACAGTATTACCTGGATTTTCCATGGCAAGAGGTTTGCTTTAAAACAGCTGATCCCACTATTTGCTGTAATGAAATAACACAAGTAATCTTATCTGGAATGGACGCATATATCCCACATACAACTAAACGTAGAGCTAATGCAAAACCTTGGTTCAACAGCCAGTGTCAAACGGCTGTACAGAAAAAACAGAGAGCATATAACCTTTGGAAACGACAACAAACCGCTCAAAACCACACAGAATTTATAGAATCTAGAAATAGTTGCAAAATTACTATTGACTCCGCTAAAGAAACATACAATCAAAGAATAAAAAACAGGTTGCTGAATTGTCCAAGTAGTTCTAGGTCTTTTTGGTCTCTTGCAAAAGCTGTTGTATCTAACTTCACCAAGTCATCCATACCACCACTTACAGATAAAAATTATCACTTAGCCACAACATCAGAGGAAAAAGCCAATAGGCTTGCCCAAATGTTTTCCTCCAACTCCAACCTAACAGTGCCAAACGGAAAAACTCCACCGTTCATTGAAAGGGTTTCCCATAGTATGCCAGAGGTACCCTTTTGTCACAGAGAAATACGAAAATCCCTTAAAAAGCTAGATACAAACAAAGCAATGGGTCCGGATGGCATTCCCGCAATAGTACTCAAAAATTGCGCCAACGAACTCACCCCAACTTTCGCAAAATTATTCAATTTGTCTTACAGGCAAGGAGTATATCCATCATCATGGAAGTCTGCCGCAGTACAACCCATTCCAAAGAAAGGAAAAAAGACAGATCCGTTAAACTATAGACCAATTGCTCTACTTCCGGTGATATCAAAAGTAATGGAAAGAGTTGTGAACAATCACCTAACCAAGTACTTGGAAAAGTACAAAATTATCAACGATAAGCAATACGGATTTCGAAAATATAGGTCAACTGGCGATTTACTTACATACGTCACTCACTTATGGCAAAAAGCGATTGAGTTGCGGGGTGAAACAAGAACAATTGCCTTAGATATATCTAAAGCATTCGACAAAGTTTGGCATGAAAATCTGCTCAACAAGCTCAAAGCAATGGGATTATCGCCGAAACTTTGCACTTGGTTTGAAAGTTACCTAAAGGACAGATCCATTTATGTTGCACTGGATGGCCAGAACTCCAACTCTTACCAAATAAATGCTGGTGTGCCACAGGGAGCAATCCTTTCGCCAACTCTTTTCCTGATTTACATAAATGACCTCATAGATAAAACAGTAAATCCACTTTATTGCTTTGCAGACGATGGCAATGTAGTCTCCTCACTTATACCACCCACAGGTCTTTCCGCACGTGAATTCCATCATCTTAGACTAACTCAAATATCGCAGATAAATAACGACCTGGAGATAATAGAGGACTGGGGTAACAAAAACCTTGTACAGTTCAACGCGCAGAAAACCCAAGCAGCTCTGTTTTCAAAAAAGACCAGCACCGGTGAGCCAAACATCATGCTATCTGGAAGTGCTGTCACATTACAGAGTCAGTTGAACATCTTGGGGGTTACTGCAGAGACCAACATGTCTTGGCACAGTCACGTGGCAGATATTGCTAAAAGGGCCTCCCAAAAGCTGGGGGTGCTATTTCGTACAAGACATCTGTACACACCAAGCCAATTGCTGACACTCTACAAAGCCCAGATTCGACCAACTATGGAGTACTGCTCACATATATGGAGTGCAGTACCCAAACATACCTTAATGCTTTTGAATACCGTACAAAAACGAGCTATCAAGCTGATCAATGACCCCGCACTTACTCGTAACTTGGATGGTCTCGAACATCGCAGATCTGTGGGCGATTTATCTCTCTTCTACAGGTACTATCACGGAAAATGCTCTGAAGAGTTGGCACGTATGATTCCACTGAGAGTAGCACCTACCAGGCGAACCCGTCAAACAGACGGTAACCATGAATTTACTGTCAAACTAGAGGCAAGAACCTCATTATATCAGAATTCATATCTCTGGAGAACAGCATCGCTGTGGAATAAACTCCCTGCGACGGTTTTCCCTGCAGGTTACAACCTGAACCGTTTCAAGACCAACATACACCGACATTTCCGCGTACTTGCCGCTTCTCGAGCGTGATAGGACATTTCCTTACGAGTGCGCATACCCGTAAAAAAAAAAAATAAAATTGCGTAAATCTAACCATGCTGTCAGAGCAATACAAGCACACGCAACGTATGAGTAATATAAGCAGTGTGTTGGAGTTTTGGTTAAACACTACTTGTGTTTTTCCATATTTTCCAACCTTTTTGCGAAAATTTAGAAGAAACACGAGAATCTACCTAATTGAGGTTTAGGTGTTCCTTGTTGCTTTGCTGAAATATTTACGAATGAAAAAAAATCGATTTCCCCTTCAGTGACTCTCTCACACCCCAGACCTAATTTGACTGGAAAAAATATCCTCGAATATGCTCGAGGGTTGTGTCTATTCTCTTCAAATTCCAGAGATTCCCTACAAAGCATAAGTAGCTTTTTACGAATTTTCATACAAATTATCGACTTTCCCCCATAATCACTCTCCGAGACCTAGCTTGACTTGAGAAAATATCCTCGAATATGTGGTCGAGGCTTGTGTCTATCTTCCTCAAATTCTAGAAAATCGCTACAAAGCGAATGTGCTCGATGGTTCTGTCTATCCTCAAATTAGAGAAAATTCATAAAAAGCATAAATAATTATTCTAGTCAAGATTATACAGAGGTTGATGAATAACTACGAAAGACACATTCGAGGACTATTTCTGTTTTTAAGCCTTAGATTTGGATGGTTTATAACACTGCCTCCTTCCTTGGAGTTGTTCGCCCCAAAAAGATCTCATTCAAGTCGGCGTATGGCGTATTCTTGCCTCTTATGCCTCCTGTATGGGGCTAGCCTTTCTACGTAAACTAGGCTTGGTTTCACGCGATTGATCCACTGGTTGCCTAAACACACAAAAACAAATGCGAATTATAAACCAAAACGTAGCAAAGAAGTTGACCCAACCAAATACATACTAGTCGAATAAAATAAGGACCACTTCTAAAAACACTTTTATTTTAATTAAATTTTGAATTACCCTGGTGAAGTGTTTATTTCCAATTACAATATAATTTTTTTGTGCACACTTCATTTTGTTTATCCATATAAGCCAGAATATTATCCAAATAAACAAAAGAGGTTCATTCAGTTTGAGCCAATGTTCTGTCAGATGTAAAACATTCGAAAATCCGTTACCTACTGAAAATAGTTCCAGCCTGCCGCGCCAGTCTGTGATCAAGAAAGTTCTGTGATTCTTGCTTTTCTTAGACTTTTTCAAGCAAAATTGTACATGTTCTATTTAGCCCTTCAAAAATAGATCAAAATGGTGCCACAGCTAAAAATGTGTATAGGATTATTGACTGACTGATTAATTTACTCTTTTGTATGAACTAGTGAATATTGCAATAATTGATACAACAAACAAACTTTTCCTGCTTTTATGGAACTTTATTAAAAATAAACTATTAGAAACATGAACAATTTCGAATTAACGAGGCCTAAAAAAATTCCTATTACAAATACTAACAACTATATCTATGAGAAAACGCATTTATCATTGTTAAGAACTAATATGGCGGTTTTCGTTATTCTTTTTGTACATTTTATTAGTAAGTCGTTGTTTAATGAATGATGTTTTATATTATACAGTGAGTTTAGAAATTAGAATGGTACATAATAATTTCACCTTTTGAGAAGTTTAACAATCTTTATCATATACCTAAACATCTTAGAGTTTTTATCTATACCTACATACATAGTAGTCATTACCTAATTACCTACAGGAAGTGACTATAACGACTTAAGATGTTAGGCGAGTCTAGAATTTCTGAACAAGTGTACATATTTTACTAATAACTTCACGGATGCATAATATCCTGTTCTATTTCATGCTGTTATATCCACTTATTTCATACTGTGAAATGGGTTTTTTCTTGTTAATAATTTTGTTTATATTTCTCTTCTAATAGAACGAGATTTTCGAAATCTGTTTCATTTGACATCAGTCAGGGAATAATTGGTCCTGGTCCCGGAGTTAATGTAACTTTTGCTACGTTGTAATCTAACCTTACCAGACTAGTGAGTTAATGTGCCATTTTTCAGACTGAAATTGATGATGTAATAATAATACCTATATGCCGGACAGTATGAAATGAAGGATTTTTAAAGGCTTGCAAGTAAGTCTCAAAAGGTAAAGATGTTTGTATAGAGATGCATAAAATGATTAAGGTAAAGTGCAACAATTCTATATAAGTGACTAGTTAACTGGACAACTCGATCGGCACCAATGTTTAAACATACAAGATTGGGGACCGGTGGGCAAAAATAGCTTAGCGATCCAGAAGGGTACCTACTTATCTTATTTAGACTTTAGTTAGCCTTCTAAAGTCTGAAATTTTCAGTGCATGTTTTCAGTATGTAGGTACCCACGATGGATAACAAAAATGCTTTTGGCAATGGAAATGATAAAATCTAGAAGTATAAACAATATTGCAAACAAAACTACCTAAAACTAAGTATCACAAACAAAAAAACAAATTTAAACTTTCGTTTGGTTATTCAATAGCTGCCGGTTTTCCCTCTGGCGTAAACTTTCTCGAGCCTCCATTGCTTTTTTCTGTTTGATGTGCTTCCAAATACAACAACCAACCAAGATTCCTGTTAATACGAGGCCACCTGCAGCAATACCAAGCCAATGCCAAACTTTTTCCAAATACAGCGAGCGTGAGATTTTCGCGTATTTTGCTCTGCAATTTTGATAGACTTCTAAGTCTTCGACGTCGATCGGTTTATTGGAACAATCTGAAAACAAAAGTTAAATATTACTAGTTAATTTATTATACCAATGCATTCTTTTGGTAGACTAGAGAACTGTTATTGTTCGTGGTATTTAGGAAAAATTCTAGGATTTTTTTTAAAGAGATATCCACATACGAGATATCCAGCCGAAAGCTCAATTTTTCGAAGTAACGTTAAAATATATAAACGCTTGAACATGCAGCAACTGAGGAGAGTGTCCCAGTCCTACCTGTTCTTCAGACACTGATGCCCTGAAAAAAACGTATTTAAACATTTTTTTTTTTCAAAATTTCACAAAAATTATAAGCTCAATCACCATTCTGGCAATGTAAACCGCGCAAACTGACCTAAAGCGTGAATGGATCAGGCGGAATATTCGAAGAACGTCCTAGAACAGGTGTAGTTCGCTACTGCTGGGTAACGCACATAAGAATAGATAGGTACTGAAAGTCAAGTAACACTTCGGTCCTTAAAGTACTAAAACTTTATTGACATTTCTAGAGCCATTGCGGAATACAAACAACAACTGAAGTATTTGGAAAAGTGCAGCAAGCTGTGTCCGAAGATACTCTCTGGTTGCTGGAAATGAAAAAGCTAACAAACTTTAGAAACTCTGACTATATTAGTAGCAATAAGCCGTTGTTCAACTCTGTTAAGACTGAGACTGCTTTCGAAAAGAAACGTTGTCTGACCATACAAGAGAGCGTACAGGCGGTTCCAGGAAAATAATCAAACGTCCTTAGAGGAATTGTTACCCGACATAGTTTTGCAGAATTTGATAAGGCGGTGAAAATACATAGTGTATAATATGTATCAATTCCTATTAATACTTATCAAGGCGGTTTGGGTCTCGAGCAAGAAGGAATAGTCCTGAAAAGGTATAATAATATAGATGTGACTATGACTTGGCAGACATATTTTTATTTTTTTCATATAATTAACATTGGCATGTTAATTATATAAAAAAGAATATGAGGAAGCAATTTCTTACCCACCCAAGATCTGGGCTCATAGCTAACGACGATATCGCAAAGTCTTTTTTAGGAGTTCGAAGAGCAAGTGAAAAGTTTGTTATCTGTTTCAAAATGAAATGGCCTTGGAGCAAATTGAGGATGATTTTAATGCTATTTCTTCTACTGCTGATGGGAATTGCATAGTATAGGTATGGCGTCTTCCTTGAAATATTATGAAAATAGCAGAAGGATTCGGAAAACCTTTGCTGATAAAAAATTAAGGAAGTCACTCATAAAACCCTACCGAAAAATCAATGTACCTATACCTATGTATATTTTCTTTAAAAAATAAAAAGATAGGTTGATCATACAATAATACATCCTATACATCGCATCAAGTAAGTTAAATAAGGGAAGAAGTTATGTCGAAAGTAATGAGACATGTAATCAGCTCTTATCCTATCTTTACTACGTGCATGAGTAACTATGTAAATCTAATAGTAATAAGTTTCGATGCAGATAAGTTAAGGCAACTTTGAAGCGACGTTTTCGTAGTCCATCTTGAGTCGTAGATCTCTAACTGCTTTGCTCTGTTGGTTTGAATTTATGAAACTGTGTACCTATACCTATGTAACGGTGAGAGAACAGAAACTAACATCAAAATTGGCTGGAATTAGGCGTAGGTAACATTCATCAATCGATTATCTAGAGCTTGTTCATTCAATTTTTAAAATATTTTGGGTTTTCGAAAAGTCGGAAATAATTCACTGGCAACACCGTGTGCATTGTAAGGTGCCTAGTTGTTGTCATTAAATATCAATTTTCACACTTTTTACTACATAAAAACTAAATATGTTCAAGAAGAAAAATGAGCTGACTATACTCCTCAACAATATAAAGGACGACGCCAGGAACCTAGCAAATTTACTGAAACAACTTTGCTGAAACGATTGAAGAATACTAAATAGCCTGTTGACTAAACAAAGACAACAAATATGTGTGTATGTGTTGTGTTTGTTCAAGCATAGGACGTCACGACCCATTCTATCCATTGATGTCAAACTTGTCGCATTCCTTCGATCCTTTATGTTTCAGACTTCGGACTTTAGATAATCGATCAAATTTGAGGCAATTCTTATGTGAATTTTCTTTTTCCCCACCATTACCGATTTCGCAAATTTAATCAATCAGAGCGGATTTATGTTCCAAATTGGCATTGACTGAATAACATAATTCCACTTACCTATCTCATTCGTAGGACACACAAGCTCCGTATATTTAACTTTTCTTTCCAACAACCATCGATTTATCCTCTCGCAATCGCAATCGTGTTCAAATTCGGCTGATACATTTTCGCTGCCCAAAATTTGGAGATTGCACAGACCAGCAAAGTGTCTAGTCGAGATGTAGTTGAAATTTACACCTAGAGAAAAGTAATAATGATGTTATTGTCACGTATGCGGTTTCATAGATAAATGAGACTTTTCCCAACTTGAACAAATTTTATTTCTGACAATAATCCAAAAAAAGCACTACTCTGTTACAAAATTTTGAATTTATCAAATTAAGTTCTCCGCTCCCGCATTATGTCGCGAGGATGGATTGGCTCGATAATACTCTTATCACTCTGTATATGAATTTGAGATTCTTCCCTCAAATTTCAGGTTCTGCGCACAATCGTGACGGTGAGTTGTGCGGTTTCATGCTGTGTTAGAACAAAGCTCGCCGGAGAGATTTACCCTTCAAGGCCAAACTAGTCCAATATTCCTGGTCAGGGGTAAGATTAGTCACAGGTCTATCAATAAACACGACATACAGGTTTATTTAATTACATATTTCATAACTGCCACCATACTTGAAGCTGTTCGCCCCGAACAGCTTCTCCTGGTCGCATACAAGTCGGCATATAATTCTTACCTCTGTCTGTAATGAAATGTACATGAAGGATCTTAAAGAAGCTAGTTACAAAATTTTTCAATTAAAAGAAGCTATCATGGAATCTAAAGACCCGAAAGACACCAGTGCTACTAACTTTATACCTGAAAGTTCCCCTATGACATTTGAGGTGACTGTGAATCGCATCAAAACTTCTGATAAGGACAATAATAGCAAGAAAGTGTTAATACTGGGCGATGAATGTGTTAAGGGACTGAGACCTCATCTTGTTAAACTTTTGAAGGCCAACTATTCAGTCCAAGCTATCATCAAACCAGGTGCGAAATTTGGTGATGTGATTAACAATTTGTCAGCATTATTGAACGGGTACGGAGAAGATGATTATGTAGTGATTATGGGAGGAATAAATGATTTTTTACAGGGTAAAGTACCTAAGATTAAGAATATATGGACCACTTTAAAGTTGTGCATGCACACAAATATAATTTTTTTATCTACACCCTACCTTAAACATGATCAAAAATCAAATAAAACTTTAAATAAATTTAATACTAAATTTGGCGATTTTCTTAAACAGATAAATAGAATATCTAAGGAGATAGTTACTCATCTACGAACCAGTCATGTTTACAATGGGCGTAGTAAGTTAGGGATGCTAGCTAGAAGGAATATATTCCAAACTATATGCGGTAAAAAAGATGTAGTATATAAGAGTTTAATTTATATAAATAGCAAAATAGAGTCACAAGACATTATAGACATAGACCCACATAAGCTCCAGGCATCAGATTTTTGGAGCAGTGCTGCATCAAGCGCAGAAAATGGCATTACTTTAATAAACAATAAAAGCTTATATAATGAATTGAGTGAAGTGTTAGCAACTTCCACTGATCATGGAGAACCAACTGCAAATTTGTTTTCTGAAGGTATCACACGTACAGATATTAGTAGTATGGCTGAATCTGACAACCAGTGTAACCATGTTAGTGAGAATGTTTTTTTAGAATAAAAAATACCTTTTTTACTGTGATTCTTATAAACACACAGTCACTTAGAAATAAAGCGGATGAGTTGTATATTCTTCTCGAAAGTCTCGATTTTCCTGACATACTCTGTATAACGGAGCATTGGTTAAAGTCTGATGAGTTTATTAAAATTGATAATTATAATGTTGTTTCAAAATTTTCTAGAATGGGCTCTGCTTACGGAGGTACTATGGTGCTTGCAAATGAGACACTTATTGGTGACTTGAGTTTTTCTAATGTTTGCAAGTTTGATTATTTGACTGTTGAAAGGGTATTTGAATGTTCTATTGTATATTGTTCCAAATACAGAATTTATGTCATATGCCTTTATCGCTCTCCGTCAGGTAAGCTGACGATTTTTTAAAATAATTTAGAAATATTATTGAGTAATTTACTTGTTGATTGTTCAGTTATCCTTACTGGAGATTTGCATCTTGATTTTAATGGAGCTTCCAGTGGTTGTGTTATTAATTTGCTGTCCTGTTTTAATCTTAAAATGCATGTCACAGAGCCTACTAGATTAACCAAGCATACCTCTACTCCTTTGGATTATATTTGTTCGAATATATCATGTATTTCTTGCAGTGTCAGGCATTCTGGAATTTCAGATCATGAAGCTGTCGTATCAAAATTCAAATTTAACCTTAAAACACCAAATTCTGTCTCAAAGAAAGGAAGACTATACTGTAAAAAAAACTTTAGAAAATTTCGCGAGCAAAGTAACCAGGTTCAGGGTCGGCGCAAGCAACTTTGGCGCCCTAGGCAAATGTACTGTCTGCCGCCCCCATCTAGTAAATATACAAATATGCATGACTATTTTTAAAAACATATTTTGTAGTTTTATTAATGATTGTAAATAACAAAACCTGACTTTACAGCATATAGATTAGAATATCAACATAAAAAAATACATACATACATGCCCGCGGAGGCGAAAAAATCCTGTTCTGATTCTGGTGCCACGCCCAAACCGTTAATTTTGTGCCAGAAATATCCATGATATAAAATAAGTGGTTTTTGGCCGCCCGCCACCCGATCGCACGACCCCTAGCGACTAGCAGAAACAGGTATAGCAGTATGTGCTCATAAGGCGGGCGACACACTGGAGAAATAAGTTACATGAAACTTTTTGCAAGAAACAGGAAATTTGTTTCATTATCACACGACCACGACACATATATTCAAATAAGGCGGCGCACACTGGCGAAACAATTTCTGCTCTCCTGTTCCAGGAACGCCAGTGTGCTCCGCCTCATTTGAATGTATGTGTCGTGTGATAATGAAACAAATTTCCTGTTTCTTCCAACAAATTTCATGAAACCTATTTCTCTAGTGTGTCACCGGCCTAACAAGGGCAAAATTTGTGTTTGGGTTTACAAGAGAAATGAAATCCTCAATATTATGAAGCAAAGCAGAATTCAAAAGATTTTTTTTTGTAGCCTTTTTACCGCCCCTTTAAGTTTGCGCCGCCCTAGGCGACCGCCTAGTTCGCCTAATGGTTACGCCGACCCTGACCAGGTTGACTGGAATTTCTCTACCTGTGATAATCCTCTACAGCAGTTCCATTATGCGTTGTCAAATGTTTTTAACAAAGCCTTTCCCATTGTTGTTATAAAGAATAAAACCAAAAAAACCTGGTTGACTAAATCAATTAGAGTATCTGCGCAAAATATGCGAGCACTTCATTACATTAGAAAGTTTTTCATGGACAGTCTGTATTTTGTCTCTTATTTTAACAGGTATAGGGCTGTCTATCGGAGGGTGGTGAGGTCAGCAAAGAGGCTACACTATAGTCAACGTATTAGAAAATCGAGAAACAAGTCAAAGGAAGCATGGTTGATTGTTAACAACCTTAGACAGTCAGATAATAGTAATGACAAGGGCTTACACCATGACCCCAATGAGCTTAATGATTTTTACTGTTCCATTGGCTCAAGGTTGTCTTCGAAAATTACCTCTAGTGTAAATCCCCTCACATATCTCACTAGATCATATACATCAAGCACCTTTTTTATGTACCCAACAGACATTAGGGAATTAAAAAACATATTTTTAGAGATTAAAAACAAAAACGCCTCAGGGTGGGACGACATTTCCGTAAAAAATTTTTGTGAGTTGAGTGGATCAGCACTGGAGTCTTTAGTAGATGCAATTAACTATTCATTTATTAATGGACAATTTCCATGTTTCCTTAAAAGGGCTGTTATCGTGCCATTGCACAAAGGAGGGAATGACTTCAGTCCTTCAAATTTTAGACCAATTTCCTTGCTTCCCACTTTGTCCAAAATTATAGAAAAACTTGTAAAAAACAGAGTTGTGTCTTTTCTATTGAAAAATAAGATCTTAAATTCGGAACAGTTTGGCTTTCAAAATGAAAAAAACACAACTGATGCACTTTTTTCTTTCTTAGAGAAACTATATGTAACCCTCAATAACGGGGAAATTGCAGTGCAGTCTTCTGCGACCTGACCAAGGCTTTTGATTGTGTCCAGTCACAGTATTCTACTACAAAAGCTAGAAGTTTACGGGTTTCGAGGTGTTGCCCTCAACTGGTTCAGGTCCTATCTGTCGGAAAGAACTCAGACTGTTTCCATAGTGGGAAAAATATCAGATGTTCAAAATATCAATTGTGGGGTACCTCAGGGTTCTGTCCTGGGACCAATCTTATTCCTCCTGTATATTAATGATATCACCAATATTGATATATCAGGCTCATTTACTCTCTTTGCTGATGATACTACCATTCTCTGGCGTGACTCGACCAATTCTTCTCTTAACTATAGAATTTGACAGCAACCTCTTAACGCTTAATGTTACTAAAACTAATATTCTGACTTTCAAATGTGATTTACAGAAAATTCAAATTGAAACAATTACACTCAACCCCACGCCATGTGTGAAATTTCTTGGGATACATGTTGATAGTTCGCTTAACTTTAGTAATCACATTGAAAAACTGTTGAATAAACTGTCATTTGGCTGTTATGCCTTAAGAACCATAGCAAAAACTCTTGAACCACAGGTAGTTAAGATGGCTTACTATGCTCTGATCAAGTCACATTTACGTTACGGAATTGCTTTCTGGGGAGGTTGCTCCGATTATATGTTTAATTCAGTTTTTGTTTTGCAAAAAAGAGCACTGCGCTTTATGTGCGGTTTAACATACCGTGAATCTTGTAAACCATGCTTTCTGAGAGATGGAATCCTGACATTGCCGTGTGTTTTTATTGCAGAGAGTGTATGTTTGGTTTACAAAAAATATAAAAGCTCTATTCCAGTGGGGCATTACAGTGCTCGGCGAGGTGGTAATGTTCCGTTGCCGATTCCGCAGAGCAGCAAAATTAGAAAAAGTTTCATATATAGTGCCAAAAAGATGTACAATCATTTGCCAAATGAATTAAAGGATATAAATACCTTTAAAGGATTTCGAGGCAAAATTAAAAAGTTCCTTTCTAGTCGGGCATATTATAATGTGTCAGAATTTTTTGCCGACCAATTTTGAAGAATGTATATATATTATGTTTTAATGTTTTTCTTTTAATTTTGCTGCAAAAAAAAAACAATGTCTTGTTGTTAATTGTAATATCCATTGTTATTTTTAGTTATTATAACTTTTTAATCATTATGACAAACCTAATTTATATTGACTAGTTTGTGTACCTACACTTATAATTTAGATTTTTATTGCATGTATTTTGTTTATTGTATCATTTTGATAAGACTGTTTTATTAATTAGATGGTAAGACTTGGCTTTGTCAGTAAATACTTATTTTGGACAATAAAGCTTTTTTTGAATTTTGAATTTTGAATTTTGTCTGGGGACAGCTATTTAACGAGTGCCACTTTTGGCTTGGCATTCGTCGAAAACAAAACTGGGATACTTGGAGCCTTTCTGCATAGCGATGTGAGGGTTTACGTCCACTAGTATGACCGGCTATGACCATGGACTGCGATGTTCTAGATTGGTTCATCCAGTAGGTTCTACTTGCGCAAAGACGTCAGCCTCTTCTTCCACAAATTGCTTTCTCGGTTTCCTGCTTTCCCAAGTGATTCCAACTATGTTTCAAATTCTGGATAAGTTCTGACACAGGCTCCTTTTTGGGCTTTCCATTATTTAGATAGAAGGTGTACATCTACGGATGACCTCAACTTTTCCCAATGTCGATCGGTTTTCAGTCAGAATGGCTACCTTCACTCATGGGCGCCCACAAGGAGGGTCAGGGGGGGTCACTTGACCCCCCCTGGAAATCTCTCAAATTTCAATTATTTTCCTTGATGAAAATATTTGAATTTCTGATATTAGTTGAACTATGATCGCAGGCCGACTTTGCGACTTAAAAAAAAAAAACAATCAAAGAGTGCATTGATCATGAAAACGTATGTCGCATCCGATTCCATAAATAATGCCTTGTCAAAAAATGTCACTGTGACAAATTTTTGCTTTGGCATAATTTCTTCTTTATTTGTCAGAAGATTTTTGGTTGCGAAAATGCCGTTTTCGATAGAAGAAAAAAGCAGAATAGTGGAAATCTACTTCCGAAATGGTCAGAAGATAAATGAAGAATGGGTATACTCTGTGGCCGATGCTCATGCCGAGTTTTTGGAACTCTTTCCTAATCGCCGAGTAACGTTTCAACAATTTTATGACGTAGCAACTCACTCTGTTGGATTATTTCGGAAGTTCGGGAGTGTAAAAAGAAAGGAGGGGAGTGGAAGGCCCTTAAAGCGAACCCCCGAAGTGATTGAACAAGTGAGGAACATAATACAGGAAAATCCCAAAACTTCAATTTCTCAATTAAAACAACAAACTAATTTATCTACTGGAACTTGTCACACGATTTTAAAAAAGGATTTGCATTATCATCCATACCGAGTGACATGTGTGCAAGAGCTGAGACTGCCAGATTTGCCCCGCAGAGTACAATTTTGTGAAAGATTTTTAGGATTTGATGACGAACTCTTAGATAAAACCTTTTTTACTGATGAGGCATGGTTCTATCTCTCAGGATACGTAAACTCCCAAAATATGCGAATCTGGGCAGCAGAAAATCCTCATGAATTTAGAGAAGAACAGCTCCATCCCGAAAAGGTTGGGGTATGGATCGGGATTTCAAAACGACGCTTAATTGGACCGATTTTTTTTTATGGAATTTTAACTGCAGAGCGATACCGAGAAGAAATTTTAACCCCTTTTATTCATGAATTACATGACGATGAACTGATGGAAGGGTATTCCCTATTCCCAACAAGATAGTGCTCGTCTGCACACAACTCGAGAAAATTTGCAGCTTTTGAGAGAGTTTTTTGATGACCGCATTATTTCTATAAATGCTGATTTTGAGTTTCCTCCACGGTCATGCGACATAACACCTCCTGATTTTGCAGTTTGGCCTTACATCAAAAACCCAATTTTTCAGACTCCTATACCAAATATTGTGGCTTTGCGAGAAAGAATAAATGCAAAATGCCAAGAAATAAACACCTCTGATCTGATGCGGCATAATATTTTTAGAAGCAAGCATGGGAAGAAGGGCTGGACTTTGTATTGACGTCGGAGGAGGGCATTTTCAGCATTTATTGTAATTTTGAGAAAGCGGCGACTTAAATTTTATGGGACTTTTGCTGAAAATCATCGAATAAAAACGGCTCTTTTCAGAGCCACAAGCCACAAACTTTCATGAAAGAAAAATCGTAATAAAATAATCATCAACTCTCTCTTTTCGTAACGATTCACTTCACTTAGTGCAAATTTCTGAATCCTATTGGAAAACTGGTGCGCCGCTTTTTGCTCTGAGTGCAGTCAGTTCTTGGAAGTCGTACGGCCCTAGGGCAATATGAATTCTCCAGTGTAATCGTTGTTTTGATATTGTCGGTTATTTGGAACCCGTATATTTTCAGCATTTTCCCAGAGTTTCCCTACCGTATAACCTTCTAAGTTCATATTTTAAAGTGCTCTGAGTTAGTGTGAGTGCAGCACCAGTGCGGCACTATTTTTGCCAATGGAATTTGCTATGGAAGCTTCGTTTTTTGTTTATTGTTTGACGTCAAACGAAAAACTGACGTGCCTGACATTTGAATTATAGAAAAAAAGCTAAGACATACGTTTAAAAAATCATAGCAATCGATTGTTTTTTTTTTTGAAGACCCGATACCATCGTCACCAAAAGTATCTGGGACAAAAATAATTCATATTAATCTCCTGGACTAATTCTACCATCATTCATTTCAATGCATTTGATTCATAGTTTGACAAATAAAGTGTGTTTTTTTTTTAAAATAAAAGTCAAAATGACATTATGTTGGCAATACAATGGAAAATTGTCAATAATTTCAAATTTTTTATGTAGAAAAGGGTTGTGTTGCCAACATAGTTACTAAATTTTTGACTTGGGGAATTATCTTTAAAAAAAAAGCACTTTATTTGACACTAAAATTCATATAAAAGTACAAGAGCTAATATGATGCTGTCCCAGTTACTTTTGGTGACGATGGTACATGTAGTTCGAGGTCCTTATTCTTGAAACCGGGGAGCTACGTTCCCAGGAGAACGAGTGTTCCGTTTTTGTTACTTATATTATCAGTTGCATATCATTGAGAAAGACAGAACACTCGTTCTCCTGGGAACACTGCTCCCCTGTTTCAAGAATAAGGACCCTGGGGTCGTATTTTCGAATATTCTCGCATACGAAATTTGATACGATTTTTTTATTTTTATTTTATTCACATTGCTGTCAGTCAAATTTCGTGTACGAAGTGTAGGTACTCGGATAAATTCGAAAATACGACCCCAGGCTCACAGATCACCTACTTACAAATTCGTAAGTAAGGGACCTTGCAGTCGATTCAAAAGCTACGAAGCCTCCCTCCTCCCTCTAGGCGGCTGGCCGCTTGTCGAATAATACGGGGGTCCGCGTCACAGCTCCCCTACATACAGATGCGATAGAGCGGTGAATTCGTGGTTCAATGTTATATGTAAACGCAACAGGCTGGAACACGCTCACGCAGTATAAATTATCGGACGTACTTACTTACGTACCTGTATTTAGGTGATCTGTGCCGGAATTGTGGGCTTGGACGGGGAACCAAAATGAGGCACTTTTTGAGCCACCCCGTTTCGTACCCCTTAGGGGGTAGCTACCCTTATTTTCTTTTTTAATACGAACCTACCTTGTGCTGCATATCGTTGGATAGCTCGTTGCTTTTCCTTTACAGTCTTGTAGCAAAATCTAAATCGTACGACTAGGCGGGGTGACTCAAAAAGTGCCTCATTTTGGTTCCCCCTCCAATTCCCCGATACGTATTTGGGATCTTCCTGATAGTATTTTTTGTCTAAGAGATATTTCCGATTGCTACTTTTCAAATTGTCCCCCTGTATACCTAAGTATCTCTGAATTGGTGATTTTTTAGATACTTTAGTAAGAATGTTTTAAGTTTTTTTTATACATTTATTTATGATGATTTTTCCGACTCAGTGCCCTTTTTTATCCATGAAAAATGTATTCAATTAATTTTGACCCCCCCCTACATATTTTTCTGCGGGCGCCCATGCCTTCACTTAAAAAAAACTTTGTTGAAGTAGGTAGATCAGAAAGTATGCCACAAGGGTTCCATTCTGCCGGTTGTCCGTTTGTTCCACTACCAAGATCTCTACGCCTTCCATCTGTCTTCCTACGTGTGCCTTGATGCTTGTCTTATTATTTCTAGGAATTCGTCCGATTATGCCCAATGTCACGGTGGACTCTTCCAATAATAGTTATCAAATCTTTTCTAGCTATTTCTAAAGTTTATTCAAATCCAAGGCGACTTTAGATGCGGTTTATCCCTTAATATTTTAACATCACCACAGAGTCCTTACAAACATTATCGAGGCGTACTACTGATACTGATAATGCCCCTGTGTCGATGGTCAACTGACATACATAAACGTTGAGAGTGCCTTAGGCAACGAGACTCCTACAATTCTTTTTGATGAAGTACACCCTTAGTTTGAAGGCTCACCAGCGTTCGCCTCCTTACACTGGCAAGGTCTCGCTTTTTTGACATCTGGGGTCACCAACTTCCTGCGCATCCTGGTCTCCTGCACGGGAACTATGCGCCTAGAACTTTTGCCTAACATATACTTTTCTGCAAATAAGCTGCCATGCTTTATGGATATTTCAGATCTTGAATCGCAATATTTCTGCAACTAACTCTCTTTAACTTTTGAAAAATATCTGACTCTCTGTTCGGTATTTTCTCAGATATACTTCCCTAATCTTGCTTCCTCTATTAGAAGAGGCATTTTTTCCATGCATGAAGTACTGTACATTTATTTATCTTCCAACGAAGTCTTTAGGCGCTTGTGGATATGCCAAGCGGACCATTCTTTCGATGTCACTACCGAATTTCTGCAGCGTCTACGATGTTCCCCGAACTTTGCTTTTCAGCTGGCTCTGATACCCTTGACAAAGGTAACCGAACTCATATCTCAGCGCCTAGAACAGCTACGAATCACTATGTTTTGCCTCAGGCATATTCTGACTGAAGAAATTCTAGCAGCGGTCGAAAGTTGGTGGTTTGAGTTGGTCGCGTACGAGAGGCTCAACGACATACCTATTTTTTTTTGCAGCTTTCGTTTATGGTTTCATCCCGATGTAGAGTTTTCTGGCGCAAATTCGTCTCTTTCAACTGGACTTTGGTTCCAGAATAAAAGATCATTTCAATTTTTCGATTTTATTTTTTTGCGCATCCGCAGAAGCTTTATTGAAGTCATATTTTCTTGTACAAATTTTACACCCAAAGAAAAAAATATCAAAAACAAAAAGTTTAAAAATGAAATTACATGTTAGCTAATTAAATGGTCGTGAAGAAAATATTCTACCTCATACACGGGCACTAGAGCATGTATTCCGCATTTAATAGTGCTTATACCGCATCTAACTATAAATAACTAGGTACCGACTTATATGTAAATACCTAATATTTACCTGTAATATTTAAAAAAGCTAATAAAGGCAATTCCCGAAAATCTGGAAAGTCCGTAGAACTTCCATCTTCCGTAATGTAACTCATATCCAGCTTGGTTAGACAAGATTGTGAAATCGGTTTAGCTTCATCAATAGATTCTGCTACATTAATATTCAAATTCTGGCTTAAGTAAAGGGTCGTCAAAGATGGCAGTTGAAATAATGTTGGAGGGACTTTTTTTAGCGCATTGACAGATAAGTCTATCGTTCTAAGACTACTCGATTCTTGAAAAACATCATCATCGAGGTTAACGATAAGATTGTCCATTAAGTACAGATGAACCATGTAGGGGTATCTTCGTAAGTCTTCTTTGGTTACTTTTCGAATTCTGTTGTAAGAGAGCTCCAATGCCTGGGAAAGTTAAAACAAAATCACATTAAATGTATCTATTTTTTAATATTCATTCAATAAAGTGATTAAGGAGTGTTCTATTTAGAAATTTTATTGTCCGAAATAGACAAATGAATCTACACAACAATGCCGCATAGATTCTTTGTTTAACTGGAGGTCAGAATGTACAGTTTGTAAATTAGGTTTTATTCTACTTACTTCTGTATTAGATGACAAGCATTTAGGAAATTCTCGCATGTCCATGCGGTAACAATCTGCACTCCTCAGGCCATGCACGCGTGAGGTTTTGCATTTTCTTTCTTTGTTGCAATCAGCTGCGATTAATTCCGGTAAGGATATGCAGCATGAAATCAACATAAGCGTTTTGGAAAACATTGTTCAGTTCTGAAACAAGTGGGATTATTCAAATTTTCGTAAATTAAACAATTTATAATATGCTGGTCACTGGTCACTTTTATTGGTTTCCCGCCCTCCCCAGAATCAGACAGACGTACGTCGCGCGTATATAATAATGACTAACTCTACAAAACTGTCATGAGACTTAATGCTTTTTCAGATATTTCGATAAAAATTGGAAAGCTTTAACTTCAGTTGCGACCCTTGTCAATGTGATTGACATTAGGTTACATTTTAGGGTATTGTGACAAAATTACATTGCCTGAAAACGATGATGCCTCACTGAGCGAATATTGAGGAATTCGTTTAAATTATATGATTAAAATAAACAAGAGATTTTTTGGGTGATTTTTTATGTAAAGCGCGTAGCTTTTAAATTGCAGCCAGTTTGAATAAAAGAGTTGTTCTATATGAATAAATAAAAGCGATAAGTGATTAGTGAGTTATGTAAAGTCAATTATGTAGTTCAGAGAAAGTTTTTGTCATTAGCAGGGAAAGTTTTAGTGGATTGGCGAGGTAATAAGTGGATTAGTTGAAGCCGGGCTGACATGGTCCAAGTGTTCTTGGATAATAACTTGTACCAAGTAAGTTGGCAGCCAACCTACTTACTTGGCTGTCAGAACCCATCCAACTGGACTAGAATAATACAGTTGATACGATCCAAGTATCGTCCAAGTGAAGCGCGCAGCGTCGAAGGGTACTTGATCCAAGTGCACTTGGAACGTGTCAACCTGGCTTTACCATTTTCTTTGCCTATGACACCATATAACTTTTATTTGAATTTTTTTTTTCACTGCCTCATGTTGAATGGACCATCCTGTATGTGTCACCAAACAATAGTTTTAAAACTGCAAAATAACTAGCCTTTGTTCTGATTGAATCTTTCCCTACTTTTTACTTTCGACTTTGACATATTGACATTTATCGGTATTGAGTGATTTATTTGTGTTACATATTTCTTATTTGAAAAATGAACAAAATGGCGTTTGAAAACAGTACACGTGCACAGGGTTAACAAATGAAAGACAGACAAGAGACAAGCACGTTCGGGGCGCTTTCAAATAGACACAGAGGGTCCGCTATGATGCCAAAATGTTCTAATCAACATCAGATTTTTTTAACTATTTTACATTGAAAAGATAAAAAAAAGTCTTCTAAACTTAAATTCAGACTCATGGTAACATGTATGTACAATTTATGTTGTTAATTTATTTTGCTACTGAAATATAAACATACAAATATATTAATTATCTCCTTGAAAGTATAGGATGAAGTGCAACCTCTTTTAATTTTTTATACCTACCTTACAAAAAAAAATGTTTGCTCGACAATCCATGCAATCGAAATAAACCTTTGTATAACGAAAAAAGAAGGAAATGAAGGACACAGTTTAAGAGGCAAAAAAAATAAAAATAAATTTGATATCATTACCCACGAATTTAAGCGGACGCTAAAAGATTCTGACGTCACAGGAGGTGATTTGAGAGAATCATCAACAGACGGCGCCACTCTGAAGGATCTTATTTGTTATCAAATATAATAGATGCCGTTTGGAGCTTCTTGGAGACCCAAAATGCCTGTCCCTGCAGTCAAGATATGGTTTTTACAGGGATGGAGTAGTGTAAACAATAATTACATTGACTTGACGTGAATCACAGTGACAGAAAATGCTAAAGTGAACTTTATAAAAGACAGTGCGCTATCTTGTGATGTTGTGCGGTACTGCGCCATCTTGTGGTATTATGTGGAACCTAAAGTCGATGACGTCACGCGCGTCCTCTTTCATTCAAATTCAAATTATGAATTTTAATAATTTTTTTTAGAATTTTGTGATGATAAAATTTGGATAAAATAAAAAAACACCGGTATCCTAAAAATGGATGTACCTACATAGAATAATATTATGCAATAAAAAAAAAATGCTTTAACACCGGATTGTACATGAATATTAGGAATTTAAAATATTTGAACCAAACAAAAATCAACTCTGTATAGGGTACGTAAGTACCTACCTACCTAATCTTTCAATGCTAATTGCAAGTTTGAGATTTAGATAAGCAGATATCCAAATGCGAAATTCTAGATTATGAAATCTTTTTTTCTATGATATACTAAATCAGATTTATTAACTTGAAAAAAAAAAGTTTATATTTTCCCAGTTTGGCTAAAACTTGTTGAAAAGTTGGACAACTGGAAATAGCATATAGTATATAGGTAGGTAACGTACCTATTTACTTAGTGACATATTTAATAATCAGGAAAAACTTACCATTCTTTTTAATCTTGAAATATAATTTACAGTTCACAAAAATCACATAATCAAAAGTAAGAAATCGTTTTCAAGCCAACATCCATCGAGCGCACTGGTTTAGAGCACTAACAAACCTTAACTAGCTAAATTGCAGAATAAATTTAACGAGTTCACTATTGTATAAACGAACAAAATCATTTGTTTTTGGAGCTACCTTTTGCCCGCCCTTTTATTTTATTTTTGGTTTTTTATTTCAATTTCGACCTAGCCTGTACGAAATTTCGCAACGTTTTGAGGCATGCCCACAAACGTAATTCCCTAATTGAACCAATAAAAAGTACCACTTAATGACTTAAAGACTGTTTGTTAATGATTCTAAATTAATAGATGGCGGCCGAACACTGACTGAATGTCACTTTTGAGAGAATAATAAGTAATTGTGTTATCTTTTGTTTATCGTAAGTTAAACATTTTATAGAAATCAAAAGATTAGTTTGTTATTTAGACAGGCAGGAGTACCCGGTTTTGTTTAGCCTGTATTGCCATTATGGGATACATCAAGATATGACTCAATAATAAATAATTGACTGACACCTTTGACCTGGCTGGAGATTCCGAGCTCCAACTGATAAATAGCTTTGTTGAGAATTTTATGAGCTATTGGATTTCTTACGTAAATATAATAGACTGTGAGATAGGGCCTGTTTAGTGGAGTCATTTTTTTTTGTCTGGCATTTTGAGGACTGAATGTGGCTACTAAGCTGATGAGAATATGGGTGATTTTAATGCCTGCCTCCCGTTCGAAAATTTGCAGAAGAAAAAAATTGATTTATATGAAGAATTTTTTTTTAATCATCTCAAATTTTTGGCTTCTAAATAAAAGATTGACATTTTTTTTTTTTTTTTTTTACGCATATGCGCACTCGCAAGGAAATGTCCTATCACGCTCGAGAAGCGGCAAGTGCGCGACATTGATTAATAATTCACCCATAAAAAATACCAGATGCTTTTCAATAGCTGAAAAAGTGGGGATGAGTGTCAACTTCCAAGAGAAAAGAAAAGAACCTTCTGCGTTTACTTTTTGTCTGGTAATCGAGGGAATGGAAGGTTTAGTTGTGAAAATAACGCTGAAAAATCGCCAGACGGTAATCACAGTTCGAAGTCGAGTTTTCCGGCGAAACATTCTGTGGACATTTCGAACAGGTGGCAAGCACTAAAACCACCTATATTCTCATCAGCTAACTAATAGTCACATTCATCCCTCAAAATGCCAGACAAAAAAAAATGACTCCACTAAACAGGCCCTATCTCAGGGTCTATAAGTAATAGACACGTTTAAAGAGTTACTTAACCAGAAACTTGGATAACCAATTCTGGGCAATATCAGTAGGAAAACTTAACCGAAACTAATTTACTTTGTGTGAGTCTTGATATACCTTCTCCATTATTCTATCGGAGATTAGCAAATAGCCTTTAAAAATACGGAAACTATAATAAAGGTAATACATTTTTTAAGTAACATTTTTCGTTCCTACTTTGGTTTTCACATAATAATTTTAGTAAGTAATTCGCTACTTTATTTCCCGCCCATCTCCCTAACAGACCTGCAAAGTAGGTAATCGATTACGGTTATATCGATAAATTACAATATGTAATTGTAATAATTAGGTATCGTAGCTGATTATTCTTTTTCTCCGTAGGTACCTACGGAGAAAGTGGGTTTTTTATTTTATTTCATTTCATACTTGAAAGCATCAAACTGTAAGCAAATTGAGTTTCACTGCACAGGAAAAAATAACTTCTATGAACCATTTCTAAAACAGTTTTCAATTCTGATATACCAAAAAGGTACAGTATAACTTAATTTCTTGGTGTCTGGTGTAGGCACCAGACTACTACCGAAAACTTCATGTGAACAAAGTCTAATGTGAGTTTCATACTTATAGGCTTTCATTATCCTCTACTTTTTTTCCTAATGACTCGAGTTATTTCTCTTTCATGCTCATATTTCCGTTTCATTCATTGGACCTTTTCCCATCTCTTGATTAGTATCCTCTCCGTAATTTTCTCCTATAGTGGCAATAATTTAACTTCCTGCTTCTCCTTCATGTCTGGAGCAGATTTGTTCCTTCTTTACTCTTTATAAATTCATGTTTTCTTCTGTGAAATGTGGAAGCTTTTTATTAGCCCCAGAAGAAAAATACAGGAGCGCCAAGTATCTTCAATTTTTGAAATATTTTTATAGTAGACCTTTAATCTTAAATTTTATTTGAACCTTGTGAAAAGTACCTTTAGTATGAAATAATACAAATACACCAATTTTTACCAGTGTCCAATTTCAACGTTAACTTATAGGTAAAGTTCATAAAACGTTTCATAAGTCACAGGAATTCAAGGCAACGACATAAACAATAATTACATTGACTTGACGTGAATCACAGTGACAGAAAATGCTACAGTGAACTTTATAAAAGACAGTGCGCTATCTTGTGATGTTGTGCGGTAATGCGCCATCTTGTGGTATTATGTGGAACCTATAGTCGATGACGTCACGCGCGTCCTCTTTCATTCAAATTCAAATTATGAATTTTAATAATTTTTTTTTAGAATTTTGTGATGATAAAATTTGGATAAAATAAAAAAACACCGGTATCCTAAAAATGGATGTACCTACATAGATTAATATTATGCAATAAAAAAAAATGCTTAAACACCGGATTGTACATGAATATTCGGAATTTAAAGTATTTGAACCAAACAAAAATCAACTCTGTATAGGGTACGTAAGTACCTACCTACCTAATCTTTCAATGCCAATTGCAAGTTTGAGATTTAGATAAGCAGATATACAAATCCGAAATTCTAGATTATGAAATCTTTTTTTCTATGATATACTAAATCAGATTTATTAACTTGAAAAAAAAAAGTTTATATTATTATACTACATCACCTTCGCGATCTGTTCAGTAAGTTTGGAGTGCCCAACAGGTTAATCTCCGATCAGGGTAAAGCTTTCAAGTCAAAAAAGTTCAATTAATTTTGCATTGAAGTTAAAATAAAACATGTTCTGAACACTGTTGCATCCCCAAGATCGAACGGTCAAGTCGAACGCTATAATCAAACTTTACTTGACAAAATCAATGCATTGTTAGAAAATGAACATGAATGGTATGGAAAACTGCCCCAAGTAGTTATGGGAATTAACCATACAGAAAATAGAAGTACAGGATTTTGGGTTCGACAAAGATATTCAAGCAGATCTTGGAGATGTTAATAGTGGCGAAATAAATCTGGAAAGTGATCAAATCCAAGCTACAGCTTCTATGAACAAACAGGGTCAACAAATGAAAAAATACTTTGATTCCAAAAGGAAACAAAGTACAAAATATGCAATTGATGACCTTGTTTTGTGGTCATAGGGGCTGGTACAGAGAGAAAAGAGTCGAACAGAAAAACAGGAGTTGGTTTCGGTGGGCCTTACAGAGTGAGTAAACTTCTTGGAAATGATAGGTACGAAATAGTTCCTTCAAAAGGTATTAAAGGCTACAGAAACTATAAGGCCACTGTTTCAGTAGAACAACTGAGGCCATTTGTAGATGGACCGTGCGAATCAGGATCTGATTCTGAAGTGAACAGCACTGACGAATTAATAGATCTTCTTGAAGGTTGAAAACAAGAGCCAAAAAAAATAAAAAATAAAGCATTATTTTGCCCTCTTTAGAGGTATAAAAAAAAGTATAAAAGTCCTCTTCCGAGGTATAAAATAGCCCTCTTTCGAGGTATAAAATAGGAAGCCCTCCCCTGAGATATAAATAGCTCTCTTTTGAAATAATATCAGACCTTTTTGAAGGTATTGAATAAAATGGTGCTAGTCTCATCAATCAAGCACCGTATTTAATAAATAAAAAAAGAAAACATAGCATTTTATTTCAGGGATAATAATTCCAAAGATTCTCCACAAAAATAAAGCCATAGAATCTTGCGAGGACGCAGAGAAGTGAGGATTGCCGATTGTTGTATTTCATAGTTTATTATACTATTATTATTATTATTATTATTAACATATTAGTCCTACACACTATATATTATATTTTGAAGGACTCTCTATCCAATCGTTTTTCTCAATGTTTATGTAACGTGTTTAGATTAACCAGAGTTCGGGGGCTATGACTAATATGGTGTGATGTAGGTATAAAATTATTTTTGAATAGAATTAGAATAAAATAGGTGTCCAACTAGAGCAGTTGTCTTGTTTTGTTTTTCGCAAACCAAAATCCTTATCTAATACATTGTTGTTCGCTTAGATTTTTGTTTTGAAATTAAAAAAAAGTTTTCGAGATATGTACATAGTTGAATGTAAAACATTTCAAAAGATAAAAAAAAAAATAGAACTGTAAGTCTGAAGATGGTAATAAAAAACCCGAGGGGTGAACACATGAGGATTTATGGTGTACACACACAAGGATTTATGAGGATTTCCTGGGCAAGTACAGGGAGATCTTTGAAAATCTTAGGATGTGTAGGAATTACTTCGGATTTACCGGGGATGTACCCAGGATGTAGTTCGGATTTATAGGAATTACCAGGGATGTAGCGGGGATGTATTATAGCGTTTTCCATTTGTTGTACGGCCGAGGTGCACTCAGTGCAATTTTCATATTCAAACAATCATTATGAATATCGATTTTAGTATATAAGCAACCTCTCAAAATATTGGGTATTTGCCCAACCTTGAGAGACATTGTAGTTTTGATTTCTATTTATACTGCACTAGTGTGCGTTTTAGACAGCACCAGAAAAAATCTCGTGCGCAGTGAGTGCTGCACTGACACCGAAAGTTTTTGCAGCATTAGTAGCATAAAAGGATCAGAAAATGACTTGGATAATGATGACGATAATGATATTGCCAAGGAGCATGAACTCGAGCAGGAACTTCAATCAGAAGTTAACAAATTTTTTGCAGTATACTACGATACGAGCTGGTATGTAGGGAGGGAGTATTGAAAAAATAATAAGCGAAACTGTCAGAATAAAATTTCTAAGGCAAAAGAAAAGTGAAAGTACCTTCTTTTGGCCGAAAAAGGCAGACAGTGCAGATGTCGACAAGGATTTTTTTACAGCCCTGTATGTTTTACGCCTCCGATTCACTTTTGCGTTGTTGCTTTTTTTAGCATTTGTTACGGTTTTTGTACTCTATATACATAGATGGCGTATTAGACGTTTATGGAGAACTAAAAAGCGGATCATTTTGAAAATTTGGCAACCAGGATAAATGACCATAACCTACACTTTCAAAATATTTTTGTTTATGCGGTGTTGCCGCTTCTACTCTAAACCAGTGGCAACATCGCTATTTTAAATGGAACACCCTGTATATGTGATTGCATATTTGGATTCTACGTGAAATTCTGAGCAGATTTCATGTAATATACCCTATACTGAAGTTAAACTGCTTTGGAAATGTTGACAGTTGAAAATTGACTTTTTGCAACTTTGACAGGCTGTAAAACCTAAACGGTTAGTTTTAGAGGAAAACCGATTTACATTCCTGTCTTAGATTTTCATATACTATCATTTGACACCAACTGTGAATTTAATCCATGAATAGAAATTCCATTTAAATTTAATCTCCGGTTAAATTCAAAGTTGGTGTCAAATGATAGTTTATGAAAATCTAAGATACGAATCTAAAATCGGTTTTCCTTTAAAATTAACCGTTAACAGCCTGTCAAAGTTGCAAAAAGTCAATTTTAAACTGTCAATATTTCCAAAACAGTTGATTTTAGGTATAGGGTATATCCTCGGGTATATCACATGAAATCTGCTCAGAATTTTCCATAAAATCCAAATATGCAATCACATACAGGATGTTCCATTTAAAATAGCGATGTTGCCACTGGTTTTAGAGTAGAAGCGGCAACACCGCATAAACAAAAATATTTTTGAAGTGTAGGTTATGGTCGTTTATCCCGGTTGACAAATTTTTGAAATGCTCTGTTTAGTTCTCCATAAACGTCTAATACGCCATCCACCGTGGAACACCCTGTATTGTGTAGAAATGTGAATAAAATAACATATAAGACCTAACACCAATAAAGAATTTATGTCATTCCAGTTTATAATTTGACAATAATCAACCTAATTTCAGGTTTTTTACAGATATAATTAACCTGGGGATGTTATTTTTTCATAACGCCCTAGAGCATTATAAACAATTAAAAAGCCACTTGTATACCGGTTTCACACCGGTTAAATTAGGCATTCCAACGACCTGTCAAAAATTGCGTTGTGGGCGGAAGTTCATGATCCCGTATATGAGAGTATGGAATTTAAAGCTTTTTAAAGTGCATTTTGTGGTTGTTTTGTGAATGAACTCTGTTTATTTATTTTTTATTGACTTCATTAATATTTCTTCTAATTAAAAATGCCACAAACGTGTCTTGTAGTTGATTGCGGAAGTAGTTTCAACAAGGTAACAAGGATGATGTTAGGCTTTTTTTATTGCCCTCTGTTTCAAAATTTTCTAATTAAAACGTGAAAATTTTTCACAACCACTGTTCCTACATCTAAAATTAAGCCAGACTCAAAATACTTGTGAGAATCTAAGCTTTTATAAGCCTTCATTTGCTCATTGATGTGAAATTTGTGAAAACTGTGGGTTAAAATGTCAACTGGACATTTTTTCAAACTAACCGTTCGCCCACATTCCGATTTTCCTGCATTAAGACGTTGAAGTCACCACGGACAATATGAACTAAAGGGTCGATGTACACCCCTCGGGCCAAATGCCCTTGGCTTGTACTTTATCGTACCTCGTGGACTTATTTGGCTCATATTGCCCTTATTGGTATCTTAACAACTATAATGTTTTTTACGAAATGTGCCTTATTTATGTACAGTAATATTATTATTAGGTGCTAATAAGCATAATAACAATAAAGGATTTACTGGGATGAAGGCAATTTATCAAGGAATTACTAGGATATGCAAGGATTTACCAAGGAATTACTATGATGTACTAGGATTTATTGGGATGTAGTAGGATTTCCTAAGGATTTCTAAGAAACGAGGGAATACTGAGGTGATTTACTTAGAAAAAGGATGTAGGTGTACACTTTTTGCCAAATGTGTTCACCCCTCGAAAAAACCGAAACGTTATACATAAATATTTTGTTTCAATGCAGGACCGAATCCCAGGACAAAAAGAAAACTAATATCGGTAATATGACTCACCATGAAGAGAAAGAAATAGATTTAATTTTTTAAGTTGAAAATCGTGGGTTGGGTTGTAAAAAATCAAGTGATCAGCTTTGCTTAGGAACGATTGGGGATTTCAATAATTTTTATTTTATTAAAAATCCATGGCGTACCATCAATGTGTGCCAAAATAGGCCAATCAAATACAGTACGCACGCCACTGGTGGAAATTTCAAAAAATATGGTACATTAAAAAATGCTTCCTGATACTTAATACATTTATGCCAAAATTTCATTAAAATATCCAAAGTGGTGCTACAGATATTAATAATAAATTATTTATTTTTGTTTTTGAAATCTTTATCACCCTGTATCTCAAGAGTTAGGACGTTTAGGACATACGTTCATATAAAAGATCTGTTCCAACCGACATGAAAACCGTTCTAGAAAGGTAATTTCCAGTCGATCAATTCATTTGTCAATTAGGATAAACGTTCAACTTATTGAAAAATAGGTGGGCAACTGAAAATTACCGTTCTAGAACGGTTCTCATATCGGGTTGGAACGGGTTTCCTTCTTAAAATGGACCCAAAATTCGCCCCCTTGAATATCGATATCCAATTGTAAAACACCCTGTAGAGTCCGATGCGGTCATCACTGGATTGAAAAAACGCATTGCAACCCATCCGGCAAATTTTCTGTTTTAAAGAACGCTATCTTGCACTTTCACCTGCCTTTCGAAACTTTCACCAAAAATCACATCAGTGTTCCTCGTTTGGAATTCTTATTGCCTGAACCCAATATAATTTCCTGAATCTCTGCCAGCGATATTTCATGATGCTGGACACCTAGCGGAAAAGATCTCGCTTTCTGGTAAAATGGTTCGGAACATTTTTCTTTAGTTGCCCTAGATCGATTGGCACCACTACCATACTACAATTATTATATCTGAGGAAATTTAATAATACTCAGTTCAGTATACAGTCTAATGGACTTTTATTTGCGAATATCAAGAGAAATTCTTATAAATAATAGGTCTGTTCCAACACGTCAAAAACTGTCTCATGAACGGTTTCGAAACCACTTTGCATAAAAATTTCCGATTCTACACACAAATTTTAGGTTTTGCGCAAAATCGTGGCGGCAAAATGTACGGTTTCCTGCTGTGTTGGAACAAAACTAATATATTTTGAATACAAAGTTTCAAAATAAGTTTTGGCCAGCCCCTATGCCCTACATGTACCTACTTGAAAACCATTTATTTTCTCAGCTATTTATACAGGATGTTCAATACACAAATTTCAACAGAGAAATAATCTAGCATGTAGTTTGATAGTAAATTAGACCCACTTAGACAAATACTAATTGAGTTTTGGGTTGCATGATAAACATTTTGACACTGCATTTTTTCAATGTGCTCTATTACCCATTTGATAATCCTAGCATCATTTAACCCAAATACTTTATACAGGTACTGCGTTTTTGACGAGCCGCCACTTTCTTTGAGTAGATGATAGCATCTCCTATGGAGTCTATTTTGAAGATCTGCCATTTTTCACATTTAAACCTTAAGCCACTTCAAAAATTAAATTATAGACAAAGCTACAAGTCATTTATATTATTTACAAATCTAAACATGTTTATAAAAAATTGAAAAATTTGGCACAACTAATGTGAAATACTAAGAAAGGTTGTGTTTTTGTAAGAACATTTATTTGGAAAAAATACTGTAATAAAAAAACATACATTTGTCTTATACAAATATAATTAATTTGGAATCTGTATACAACACACAAGTTGAGTATACAGAAATAATGAATTATAATACAGTACGGAAGATCCCATATCAAAGGAGGTTACTTGGAAACATTGGTTAATAATATGATGGTCAATCTATGTAAGATCTGATAACTAATTTTCCTGCCCTCAATATGGGATGCAAATGAAAATTACTAACTATATGAATGGATCAACACATTAATATAAGTCAAAGCCCTGGACTCAAAAAAAAAAATGCATATGACGGGTAAATAATGCAAATTACAAAATCCGAGGCTTTTAAAATATATGCTCAAATTAAAAGCAAAAAATAAAATGTCGAGAATGTTCCAGTTTTTTTCTTCGGAAAGTGCAATTGATGATTCCATGATAACTAAACATTAGACATAGGTGATATCTGAAATTTCTTGAGGTAATATTTCGGTAGTGTCCCTCTCTTAAATTGGAACAAAAACGAAGACCATATCACAAAATATTATCGATAAAAAAAATCTGGAACATTCTGCTCAAAAAAAAAAACCTAATAATAATATAAAAAAATATGCCATCACATCACATATTACGAAAATAAATTTAGCAATAAAACAGTCAATAAATGTTTAAATAATCATCATTTGGAGTCGACTTTAATCAAAACCCAACTATCACAAGTGTTTCAAATCAGTCTCTTATAATCTTTGTTACAGCCAAGCCAAAGTCTCTGATTCCCCTGCGATATTTCATTGGATTAATCCTAAGGTCTAGTTCACGCTGTTAAAGACATACAAAAAATAAGGAAGTGATGGCATAATTTTTTTTTAATATGATTACAATAATTAATAAAAAAAAACAACATAATAAAATAATTATTTTTAAACACAAATAAAAAATAATAATGACTGAATTGTATTGCGTCTTAAAATTGAAGTAGCATGTTAACACCTTATCCTAAGATGATATTTTTTGTCCTTCGCCTAGTGGCTACTCGTAGAGATGTCAGGGATATTTGGTATCCGGTGCATTTTTCAATAGCCAAAGAGTGGAAAAAGTTGATTGATTCTCGACAATTTTTGATATTAATACATATTATTATCAAGTGTGTATTAGCCAACATTTTTCACACAAAGTTTTTTTTATACAGGATGGTCCAAGAAGCATTTCGCGTCTATTATGAAACTTTTGAATTCTACAAATTCCATACCCACCTTCAACGGAGATAAGAATGTGGGATCGTTGTTGCTCTAAAATTACCCATTTAGGTTCTACAGCCTATCAAAGTTGCAAAAAAGTCAAGTTCCAATTTCAATATGTCTAGAATTTTCAGTAGAATTCAAAAATATCATCAACAGACGAGAAAATGCTTTTTGACTGCACAGCTGTTTTAGAAAAACCCTGCATAAAAAAACTTTGTGGCTGAGATACATATTATTGTATGCATGTATAACATTTATAGGTATTTTATTTATATAGGTATTATGCAATCCTTATATTTTTAAGCTGAATACAGTTAAAAAATCTTTGGGCAGGATAATCATATGATATTCAGCTACCTAGGACCAGGTCTATAACCAGCACTCACTATCCATGACATCTGTAGCAGCAATTCCAATAATGCTATTCCAAAAATTACAAAAATCCATCCATTGTATGGAAAATACAGTTTTGAAATAAAAAATAAATTATACATTAATAAAATAAACAGGAACTCCGCTGAAAATGCCTAAAAAATATAATAAATTTGAACCCTATAACTAAATAAACTTATTGGAATTTTTTTTTAATCCATTGGAATCGAGCAAAAAGTTTCACCATTGGTTTACTCACAACTGAGTTGGTTTCAACTTCAAGAAAGTTTTGAGGTCTTGATACCAAAAAATATTCTCCACAACCATCCCATAAACATAAATGTTTTTTTTTTCTTCTTAAATTCAACCCTTCTACACGAACTCAAGAAAAAACAAATTGAAGCTAAAATCTGCCATAGGTCTTTACTTATAAAAGTACATATCCGACGAAAAACTAAATAGGTTTAAATTATTTTATCTTCAAGCTCAATTGTTCAGCCCAGCACAAAAAGACCTACTTCTTGGCCTAATGACATACATACATAGCTGTTACTGTGTATCATTGGCCCTTTATTTAATACTGTGTAAAAAGATTAAACTAGAACTCCCTTTGCAACAACTCAAAAATAACATTGAATGTAGCCACCAGCTTAGTTTCTATAATTATTATTATTGATCTATGCTAAATTATATACATCGAAAAACTGCACATTTAATTTAAATATTTTATTTTTACAATTTACGAGAAGAAATTTACAGTTAGAGGTACTGTTACAGATTGCAAACGTAGCAATGGCTTCTTTTACATAATGTTTTTAACATGTATTTATTGAGTCTGCAAACCTTGCATTTGTACTAGTGTGCAACCCCTTTATTCAATTTAATTTAGTCAACAATGAAAGATTTAACAAGCTAGAAATAAATATTTGTAGAATTCATTAGGGAAGTACAAAATTTTTGTTATTGAAAATATTAATGATAATTGCACACCTGAAAAATTTGTAAAATACTAAGCACCCTTGATAAACTCTAAAAATATTTTTCTCTGTAATAAATAAATATTTCCAGGGACAAGAGAATGTAAAATGAGTGAAGCAAATCTATGAACAAATAATTATTTACAATACTTATAATAAAAGCCTAAAAGCTACATATTATTATGTATCTATGTTACACACATCAAGCTTTTCAATTTCTCTCTAGTTTTTGTCCTTATACGGGATATTTTACAATACTGAGGGCTTGCAAGCCCTGGTTCACCCTGTATTTTACTTTAAATTTATTATTACAAAGTAGGTAAATATTGTTATAGTACAGGGTGCCTTGTTTTTGTATGTTTCGAAATTACTCTGCTACTTTTTTGCAAGACAGAAGGAGGCAAAATTAGAATTTCCACACCTTTTATTTTAGAAATAGCTATTATTGTCACATACACATATTCCACAGGTCCACTAGAAACTGACAATAACAACTTTCATTGAACAAATTGACTTTATATTTACTGATAACAATGTAATTTCATAAGATTATCTTGAATAGGCTTTTATATAGGAAACATGAAAACGGGACACTCTGTACTGCCTAGAGATTTTTTTTTTTTTTGATAAAGAAATTCTCTGGACCTAACTAATACATATTATTATTAGGTATCTAATTTTGAAAACACTATGCTAATTCTGTTGCCCCTGGACCTGTAACTGATTAATAGAAATAATGTTTTCTTCTTTTTTTGCACTATCTTTTCTTATTAATTAACACTTTCTTACATGAAGTAGGACCTTGTGAATTAAACCTTCTTTTTGCGCTGGTGGTATTTGGACTTTTGCTGGTGCCATTAAAACACAAACATATTTTTTTCAATGCTTTCCTAGGGCTCTTAATGTCTATGGAATTATGAATTGGGCACCGTGCTGCTGCTGCTTCTGCTACAGAATCTTTAGGGGCGTCTGTTTCATTTGCTTCCACCTCAGTTAATGACTCATCAATAACTGTTTCTTCTTGTACCGCTATAAGAGTATCATCTTCCTTTACTATTTCCATCGCATCTTCGGAACTTGTAACTTCAGTGACTTCTTGCCAGTTTTCAGGAGGTTTATTAAATTTTTCCCCTTTTTTTCTGTTGGTATACTTATATTTGTACTTATGGCTATTGTCAGGGTAATCTAGAGATATTGGAGAATTCAATGTAACTTCTGACATAGAGCCACAATTTGGAAGAAGTGTAGAATCATCACAAGACAAAGCAGAGTCACTAGAAATAGTATTACCATTCACTTGGTCTATTCCAGGTTCCGGAGGATGATACTCCACATAATCAAAAAGATCATTTCTTAGCGGTTCAGAATTTTCATCATCACTAAATAAATGCAATGAACATTTGCCTTTAGCCTCAGTACCTTGAATCCTTTGACCTGACTGGTCATAAGATGGTGAATGATTCGAGTCAAAAAGTAAGTCTGCTTCAGGAAACAAATCACTGGTGCTTGGCTCATCAACTCCTAAATCTTCACATTCTTCCGAAAGAGTCTTTTGGAGTCGTAATTCTCTTTCAATAGCGGCTTGTTTTTGCATATCACTATCGATTTTTTTGCTGACAGCTTTCTTTGTTCTAATGGCGTAATAAACAGTGTTGTTTTTGAGGACTCTAGCGGTAGCTGGTGGTATCTGAAAAGAAAAAAAAAAGCATTAAAACAAAAAAAATAACATTTAGCTTTAAAAATAAAACTAAAAATTAGTTTCCGAAAATAAAACTAAAAATTTGTTCCAAAAAATAAGTACTTGTTCATGCATTCAATGTTATGTATGAAATTGAAAAATGAAGTACGAACATTAATGAATATTAGGCCAAGGCACTTAGCGAAATAACAGCCATATTTTAACATAAAATTCAACAGCAAACTATCGATGCAATATTGTTAAGGATCATTTATAGATGCTAAAAACCAAAATTGCAATATCTAATTACTTTTAGGGGATTTTATAAACAATATTTAGTGCAAAAATAGGGATTTTTTTGTTCATTTCACTGTATTTCGAAAACTAATGATCGGATGGTTTTGCTACTATGGCAATAGTTTTAAAGCATTGAACAAGCTTTAAAATGAGCCATCATACAACCCTGTAGGTCTTTTAGTCTTCGAGAAATGATTTTTTTCCCCCCAAAAAAAAGATTTTGGTAAAAAATTCCTAACTTGTTTAATTTTCATGCTAGACAATTATTTTTTTACACATACATAGTATATGAGGCAGGCTTTATTGAGCCCAAATTTGGGCCCGGTCCGATGGGTCGTTTCGACATAATACCCTTGTCAAGCAAAATGGGGATGTTTCTAAAGCAGTCTGTCGAATTGAGGATAATTTTTTTATATTTATTTTGAAAAGTCCACTGATAAGTCGAAATGCAAACTATCGATCCTTTATCTCAGATTTTCCATTTAATTTTTTTATCGCAAGTAAAACGGCTTCGAACATGACTGAAAATGGAAAAAATCGGCAAGAATTCAAACAGAGTAGGCAGCGAGCTCCCTCCCGCCCACGCAAATTACATTTTTTTTCCAGTTTCAGTGATGTTCGGAGCCGTTTTAATTGCGATAAAAAAATTAAATGGAAAATCTGAGATAGAGGATCGGTAGTTTGGCATTTCGACTTATCAGTGGACTTTTCAAAATAAATATAAAAAAATTATCCTCAATTCGACAGACTGCTTTAGAAACATCCCCATTTTGCTTGACAAGGGTATTATGCCGAAACGACCCATCGGACCGGGACCAAATTTGCGCTCAATAAAGCCTGCCTCATATACTATGTATGTGTAAAAAAATAATTGTCTAGCATGAAAATTAAACAAGTTAGGAATTTTTTACCAAAATCTTTTTTTTGGGGGGACAAATCAAATCATTTCTCGAAGACTAAAAGACCTACAGGGTTGTATGATGGCTCATTTTAAAGCTTGTTCAATGCTTTAAAACTATTGCCATAGTAGCAAAACCATCCGATCATTAGTTTTCGAAATACAGTGAAATGAACAAAAAAATCCCTATTTTTGCACTAAATATTGTTTATAAAATCCCCTAAAAGTAATTAGATATTGCAATTTTGGTTTTTAGCATATATAAATGATCCTTAACAATACTGCATCGATAGTTTGCTGTTAAATTTTATGTTACGAAAAAAATTATCTTCCGTGGCCTATATGGATAATCAGCTTGATCTGTATGCTCGATTACATAAGCGACTATGTTCTGAGCAGTGGAATGTGTTCCGAGTGATCTAATATTGATTTGAAATTTGAAGTGAACAAATTCAACATACATCGTAAATTATAGGGAAAGCCTTTTATTTTTTGGAACATTGATAAAAAAAGCAGTGTGAAAGAAAATATTGCAATCCGTTGAAGATGAAACGTTGCAAGCTATTTGGCCCCCTTTTTGTGCTGAATCTGGAATATCATTTCTGAACTCGCCTAGTGTACTGATTTTTTCCAACCAGACGCCATTTTTTGACAGATCGATGGATTGCCTAATAAGGCACTTCATTTTCAATATTTTCATATGCTTCAAATTCAATTCAATAGGCGTGGGTAATGTAAAATCTCAAGTAGAAATGAATGTTTATTTCTGTTGTCAGACTTTAAGGCGAATTGTTCGTATTTATTTTACTATTAATATTATTAATATATTAGCTCTAATTAGCTCCTAGAGACTAAAAGAAACTTCCAATACAGACGTTTGCTTCTGTTCACATTTTTTAATTACATACTCCCAAATCTGAAATTTTCCAATTTGACCCTTGTAAAAGCCAAAGAGCTTGAACCAATTTGAATTGCAATTGCATTGATCTTGACAGCAAATTCCATTTTGAATAGTTGTGTAAATGAAGCATAAGTACGAATAAGAATGAATAATAAGAATTATTTTTGTTTAAACTCCATTTTTTTTACCTTGGCTATGTTATGGTTGAACTGTTTGGTGGAAGCAGATGTACATTCGACCCCTTCTGTAGCTTTTCTGTATCGGGTATTGGTGTGGGACAGCATTGGACCATTTGAAGTTGAAGTGTTTACCAAAACAGAGGCGATGCGGGGAACTCCAGCTCCTAAATAATAAATTATTGTTTTCACATTTTTTGTACTCATTCGGAAAATTCTCAGTTAAATATTCGGAACAGTTTGAAAACATCCAAACTGTTTCAAAATACAACGGTATAATGAAATGTATCAGTAAAAGGAGTAGCGGGAATAGGAGAACCAAATACGTCGTATAGGTACGTAGCTTGAAATTTTAGCGGTAACGTTATATTTGGAAGCCTAGATATGATCTAAACGTCGCAACAAGTAAGAACGTTTTTTTTTCCCATTCCCGCTACTCCCTGTTCCTGTTGTGAATGCAGGGACGATGCCACATAATGGAGTTACAATATTGGCAAGAGCTGTTTATATGTTCTTAAAAATAATGTAGTCTCCTATTATGACTAATCTAATGCCTTGAAAAAGTTCGATTAGATCAGAAAAAAATTGACGAAAATTCTGTTTGGCTGGACTCCGATTTGAACCTCCAACCCACATATTTAGTGCTTGCTCTAGCAACTGAACTATCAGGGCTCTGGTTCCATTTCTATTTCATTGGTCAAGTCTTTCGTCAATTTTATAAAGTTAGTTAAGTTCATCGACAACCCGACATGGTTATCGATGATAAGGGGTGTTAGTAGTTAGTGGAAAAGCGATTACATTCACTATAAATATTTGTTGAAATGCATTTAGGTACTTATCCTTCAGCAATTAATTTTCAAGTTGAACCAGAAAAAGTGAATATATTAACGTCTGTGCATAGGCTATTAATTATTTATAGTTATATGTACATTATATTAAGGAAAAATTCAACATCAGTAATGAAATACACACATCAAAATAGTCTAGGGAACAAGATGCAACTGAATACATTTATAAATTGAACAACATATACTTTTTTTAAGATTTTTAAATTTTGTTAAAGCCTGCTGGAAAAGCCGATATGATAAATTTTACAAGATTTGTTCAACAAATACCCATATGGTATCTTTTTAAAAAAAGTTATTCTGTCTAAAAATTAAAAGACGAATATTTCTTGTTCCCTAGACTTTTTTGATGAGTGTATTTTCAAAATAAGCTGGAACTTGATATACTCTAGAATGTTCATCAACAAAATTTAAAAGTGATCGAATTAAATCTCATGGATGCATAATCTTGTATAAAACAGTTGTGCTTTAAGAAAACCTAGTATCTACTAAATACTTGACCCCTATACTAAATGAATATGGATAGATTTTTGGTTGAACGGATGGCAGTTTTGACAAACAGCCATGTATACATAATTTTAACACAGATACCTGTCAAAAGTGGCATATATTTACAATCTAAAATAGGTTCATTTGGATTGAAACGGCATATTTAAAAAATCTTTCTACTCTCTTAACTGTGTTTCGTACCTTTCATAGATGAATCGCCTGTCTGAATTTCATCATCATCTTTTTTGATTACAGATGCGATAACTGAAGTTGCAACACTGTTAGTTTCCTGAATATTATTAAAAACTTCATTATTCGATAAATGTGATGAGCTAGCTTCCTCAATTTTAACTTCTATAGCTCCACAGTGCAGTAGGTTCGTGCTACTATCGGGCTGTGGTACTTCTGTGTTGTCAATTTTCACAGACTCTCTCGGTTGTGAAATAGTAAGTAGTAGTTCAGTACTATTTCCCCTTTCCTTATCGTCGAACTTTTTCAGTGTTATAGGCTGCCCCAGAGAAACAGTTGATACCGAATTGGAAGGCAAAATAGCAGAAGTTTGAGCGGTTACAGTGGTTACATTCTGCGAGATAGTGGAAAACGGCTGAAGAGTGGAATACTTGACAGTAGAGATACCACTCTTTTTATTTTGATTAACAAAACTTTGTAATAAGAGCATATTTTGTCCAGACCGAGCAGGCACTGTAGTAAGGATTTTGCTACCCCCTGAAACTACAGCTATTTGTTGTCCACCTTTCACTACCGAAACAGGCATAATGTAGTTTCCAGGCATTAGAAGGGCTGTGCTAGGTATTTTTAAAGCTTCACCCACACTAGAATCAGCAATAATGACATTTCTAGGTTGACTCGAAGTGTCTGTTACGATAAGAGGCCTAGGTGTTGTGGTATTCGAAGTTGCAGGCTCTAAATTTGATTCAGGAGGAGTCATGCTGGCAGACTGAGACTGTTCTTCATCTGTCATAGAAAGCTGGACAGCATTTCCTCCTGAGCTATCTTCACTTCCCATAGTTAGATCTTCATTGTCAGTTTCTACTAAATTACTTGTAGATGAACTAGTACTCTTTTTCTTCTTCTTTTTACTAGGGGAACTAGAAGCACTCGAACTGGGGTTAGTGGGGGGATTAGATCGTCTTCTAGGAGCGGGCTTATTGTTTAAATCAGGTGAGTTTCTTAATTGCTCTGCATATTCAGCAAGAATATCAAATATTCGCTGAGTAGTGTGTTCATCCTCTTGGGGTTTTTGTTGAGGCTTAGGTAGAGCGGGTACTACTGTAGTGGGCGATGTTTTCACAACAGAGCTTTTAATACTCTTTCCTTTGGAAGATTTAACAGCAACTTTGGGTACCGCAATAGTAGCCACTTCAGTTACACCAGAGCCACTACCACTTTGGGAGGTAACGCTAACCGCAGGAGAAACTGCTTGCTGTATAGGACTGTAACTGCTCACAACTACTACAGGGGAAAGTTGAGTATACTTCTGAACTTGATTGACATAAGTAAAGCTGATTCTTTGTTGTTGTGAAGATTCTAGTGTAGTCTGAGGTGTTGCCTCTGGTAGAGCAGGGTTACTACTTCTTTCTTTCACTTGCTTATAGACCATGTCAAATTCTCTGAGCTGTTCTAAAGTAGTAGAACTCACGTTGGGCTGAGGTGTGCGTATTACATTAGCAGGAATCTGTAGTTGAACTGGTTTGACAATTCTGGTAGCATTTGGAGGAACACTACCAGGTCGACATAAAGTAATTCTGGTAGCAGAATATTCTTCCACCAGTTCACCATTTTGCTCAGTAATTTTAGGCTTGCCCTGTAGGGCCGCTGCCAATAAAGCACTCATTTTATTTTGGATAACTGTTTCTTTCACAAGACTTATTTGCTCATGTGTAGAGCCAGTTATTCTAAAAAGCTGCCTAGTATTGCTACCAGGTGGTATTAAACTGACTGTCTGCCCGATCGGCACTTGCCCTCTAAAAATTACATTTCCAGTAATAGGCTGAACATTAACTGGTACAGCTTTAGCAGCAGCCTTTTTTGTTTCTACTATAGCTGCTGTTTGCGTTTGGTTAGTTACTTCACTTGGAGTAGCTGATGTTTCGGATGTGCCTACTTCAGAAGTTGTACCAGGTTGATAAACAGCTTTTCCGAACGCCTGTTGAAATTTCGGCAAAGAGCTTTTACAAATAAACTGTAAAATGGCACCACCTTGAGCAGGAATTGAAGTTGTAGGTGTGGCTCCAGCCTGAGTAGTAGTAGTTACAATCCTTACATTAGTATTTACAGTTTTAGTTGCTTGCACATCTGCATGATCCTCTGGCTCGACTTTTATAACAGTAGCATTCTAAAACAATAAACATGGACTCATATGAGTTTATAGTCGATCATGCAATTATGCAACTCTTCTGCAATACAAAAAACCAAAAGGAGAGCGTGAACTAAAATTAAATGCGTGCGCACTTTTATACAAAATATAAAAATTCTACTAAACCAATACAAACCAAAAATTCATTATAACAACAAAAAAGGAAATGTGCATTACAAAAAGGGTGATTCAAATATAAATGGGAATTTTTCCATAGTAAATTTCAACACATTTGAAATATGTTCCATAACTGGTTGCGCCTTTACATACACTCAGTATGATATAATATGTAGGTACACTATTCACAATGGTTTCTTATAAAACTCCACCCAAATTGAAACCTGATATGGTGAAATCAAATTAGGACTGGTTGGTATATTTGAACCACCTTTGATTTTGACTCTTTACATTGCTGATTGTCTTTTAAAAAATGTCTATGAAAAACAATAATGCTACAAAAGACACAAACACAACAACACAACTAGAATAGACTATGAGCCAGTTTATTCACCTTTTGATAAACTCAGGTATGCAATCTGACGGACAAAAACGCAATCTGTAATTTCATTGGTCGGCCATTTATCCGCCGACCACTAGAATTATAGAACGGTAAATTTATCTTGCAGATAGTTACCAGCAAGTTTATCTAAATATGAAAAAACCTGACCTAAGTTAAATAAAATATACACTTTAAAGATTTATCACCACTTCGAGATACTGTTGTGGCAAGTTACTTTTTTTTTTTTGGGAATATTTGTCAATAGTATATTATATATATTTTGAGTTTAAAATAGTGAGATAGTGAAACCATTTTTTTTTGCAGTGGATCTACTATTCTTTCGCTTTTTTTTAGAAAATGGGAAAAAGTGTATCTTGCTTATGATGTAATATGACAATTTTTAAAAATAAAACGAAGCATTTGAAGACTTTGCTATGCGTGAAGTTACAGCAAAACGGATTGCAAGGGAGTTTAGAAGCAATAAAGAAGTTCAAATGGAATAAAGTATCCTATTACTATAGAAAGCGCCAAAACATGTTTGCGTTCGTTAGTAGTTGTTAGGTTATTTAGTCATTTTTGTCAATCACTATTAATTTAATTTAATAATAAGGTACTACTACAGTGAAACTTCTATTAACGGACCCCTCAACGGACAACGGATTTTTTTTTCAATGCGGAAATCCTGGAAATGAAAACTCACTCCGGCATTGAATACCCTAACAAAATTGTTTGGGTCCACGGAAAAAAGGTGCATTAAACTATGTCAACTAATTTGGAGGTCACTAGACTACAGGCCTGAGCATTGGGACACTTGTGATGTTAACATTGGAAAAAGTTTTTCGACATGGTTTTTTGTGTTTTTCTTATCCTTGCAAAGAAAAGCTCTCGTTTTCAAGATGGAGAGTGGACATATATCTCAAAAAGTTGTGCTACAATACATAGAGCCCAACGTCTTCTAGACTTATAGTGTCAATCTAATGCAATAATAGTATCTTGAAAGTATAAAAGAATTTAAAATTATTCTGTTCCCAGATAAGGACGCATTCTAAGACTTACAAGCATTTTGCAAAAACACTTAAAACCGCCAGGGTCACCATATTCAATACAATGAAAAATGTAAAGCCGTTTACATTTTTTACCACACACTATTTGAATTTGGATTTGGCAGTTGAATTGCCTTATCAATATGAAGCAATTGAAATTAAACAATAACAAAAGCATTCACTTACACCGACAACTATAAAACTGTAATTATTATGAACTTGACTCACCTGATGTGGATCTAATGATGGCATGTAAATTTGTTGAGATAATATGTTGACCATAGGTGTCTGCCTGGGTTGTGTGGATTTTTGGCTTGTTTTGTCTTGTCTAAGAATATTGATTAGGGTTGATTGTGAGGTCGAGGGTGCATTCATCACTGTTGAGCTAGAAGGTTCTGGATCCACATCGTAGCGATCGGTTTTCCTATCTAGTTTTGCTTGTCCAATCCTTTGAATGTGTGGTGTCACTTGAGTACTTGCTTGTGTATTTGTATTCGTTACAGTTGAGGAACGTGGGTCACCATGCTCCACTACATTTACAACATGGGTCATGTTTGTAGGTGATATTTCAGAGTAATCATGTAAGCCTGGAACACTTCTTATAAAATTTTCCATTTCACTATTCAAGATTCTTGGAGGTTGTTGAATGGATTCACGAGTTTTTTGTACAAGTTTATACTTTTGATATGACTTTCTTCCATAGGTATTTTTCTTCGACCTGATTTCATTGTAATTGGTAAAGTCATAAAATGGAGTTTTTTTCACATATTTATTTAGAATAATTGGGAGTTTGCAATATTCTGGATTTGCTATGATCACATTTGCTTTGGGCGAAGAAATCTGCTTGGTTGAACGTTGGAAATTTAGTGAAAATGGTTTACAGTCCTTTTCCTCATTATCTAGCTTAAAACAACTATCATATTTTCTTTTTCGGTTATTTGAATATATTTTCAAGTTCGTTTTTTGCCACTTCCAGGGAATCCATGATTCCGATGCATCATCCAAACTAAATTGTAATTTCACAGTTCTGTCATTTTTAGCTTTGGAAAAAACTGATATGTTTGATTGAAAATCTTTATTAGTTTTAACGTAATTATCTTTAATTGCACTGGCTAGGTTTTCGATCTTTGGTTTCTTATGGAAATTGCAAGAATCCCTCAATACAAAACTGGATTCAAGACGTTGCACCAAAACGTCTGTCTTTGGAAATTTTTGATGTGATTCATATTGATTCAAACATTTACTATCGGCCTGCGAGTAACTAGGTGTTACCTGCAGATTATTAGTTTTTATTTCTGAAGTGCTTGAAGCAGTGTCCAAAGTGCAAGAATAGTCATCTAATGGTAGAGAATCTTCAGGAATATTTTCTTGCACAATTTCTTGAGAATTAGGAATATCTTTGAGCACAGCAGCAGTAACATTGGTAGAGGTGAAATCAATGTTGGTTAAATTTTCAGTGATGATATCAGCATCCTCATTTTCAGAAAATATAGCTGTCTCAGAAAGAGGAAAGTCTAATTCTTCAACAACTATAATCACTATTTCATGCCCCTCTATATTATCTTCGTCAAGGTCATTAAGTGGCACATCATTTGTATCATTATCACAGCTTAGATTTGTATTTACATTATTTATTGTGCTACAGTTATCTGCTCCATTTATTATTGTTACAGAAGCAGATTCAACAGTTTTGTTATCAGTTCCTATTTTATCACTAGCCATATCCTGTCCATTTTTTGTTGATTGAATATCAGTCTTTTTATCGCATTCTGAAACTTCATCTTTGTGAAGACGGACTTCTGAAGAAGGGATCGTATATACCTTCTGCGCCATTATCGGAGCTTTCTGAATCTGCTCTAACTTGACCGAAGCGTTGCAGACTCCCTGATTGATTGTTGCGCCAGGCAGTATAGTTTGCATAACCTCTTGCGATATCAAACGGACTGGGCATACCACTGATGTTGGAGACTCTTGGCAAGTCGTTAAGCTGGAAATAGTCGTATCCAGTTGGATTTGGACTGGAGCCTGAGGAGGATGAGTTTGAGGAGGGTACAAATCCTCCGTCAAAAATGTTGCTTCTGGTGTTTTGCATGTCTCCCGGGGCTTGGCTGGGCATACCACTGCTGTTTGAGACTCTTTGCAAGTCGTTAAGCTGGGTATAGTCGTATCCAATTGGATTTGGACTGGAGCCTGAGGAGGATGAGTTTGAGGAGCGTACGTATCCTCCGTCAATGTAGCTTCTGGTGCTGTGCATGTCTCCAGGGTCTTGACTGGGCGTACCACTGCTGTTGGAGAATCTTGGTGACTCGTCAAGTTGGGGAGAGTCTCCGGTTGGATTTGGACTGGAGCCTGAGGAATATACAAGTTCTTCGTCAGCAACGTCGCTGCTGCTGTTGTGCATGTCTCCAGGGTCGCTGCTGTTGTGCATGTCTCCAGGGTCGCTGCTGTTGTGCATGTCTCCAGGGTCTCTGGTGTTGTGCACGTCGCCAGGGTCTCTGTTGTTATACATGTATCCGGGGGCTTGGTACATGCCCTGAACTGAGGAAATGAGCTGCCCCATTTGGTAACCGAGTACACTGCCGAAGCAGTTGAAGAACTGGGATTCGATAGGTTGGGTAGGGAAGGAAGGGTTTTGAATCCCGCTTTGTGCATGGCCAGGACATCCGGTTCCGTTTTGAACTTGCTCGAAAAATGCAGGTCTGTTTTGAACGTGTTCAGAATATCCAGTGCTGTAGTAGAGGCCGTTAGCAGGTTGACTGCTGAAGTAGAGGTAGCCAGGTTGTCGAGTTTGGGGGTCATATTCGGGACGAGGTTGGTTGTAGATATCGGCATATCTTCCAGTTCCAGTGTAGTCTTCGGCAGCAAGTCGACTTTGGGAAGGCAGGTCGTGAGGCCAGCGAGCAAGGGAGTTGCAAAATCTACTGATGTCATAGTTGTTGTTTCTGTATTGGCTGTCGTCTGCTGGAGGTCTACTTCTGTTTTGCATATCGTCTGTTCCGGTATTACTGTATTCAGTTCTGTTGGGGACATTAGGAGGTCTACTTCTGTCTTGCATATCGTCTGTTCCGGTATTACTGTATTCAGTTCTATTGGGGACATTACCAGTGATGCTAAGAAGGCTGGCTTGTAAGCAAACGAAACATTTAGTTCTGTCGTGGAAAGGGCTATTGTGCTGGTTGATGGTGAGGTTTTCAGTTCTGGGCTGCATGTTACTGTTGACTTGGGAGTTGGTAATAAGGAGTCTGCGTAGGCGATCGTCACTGGCTCTGGTGTCGATATTGGTATTGTTGATTTGGCTGTTGGTAATAGGAATTTCGGTTGTGTTGCTGCCAATGAGGCTTTCAACTCTGGTACTCTGTGTAATAGTACTACCAAGTCTTTGGCAGATTTCATTGATGCCAAGTTTTTCTCTAATTGGTTTGGCGCGGATGGTGTTTGTTGAAGATCCGGAATTATATTTAGAGTTGTTGGTGCTGAAACCGGAGACTCCAGCACAGTTTGGGGAAAACCCTGTTTCATTACCGAGGGTGCTAGTACTTGGGTTAAATTCTGTTTCGTTACTAAGTTCTTCCGTGGAGGCGATTGGGGATGTTCCAATGGTATTATTTGAACTTTGAGTCGTTTCATTCTCTCTAAAGATTCCCCATTTGGATCGAGACTGCTTTTGGCTACGGTATAACTCTGCATGGGCGCCCTCTGGAACTGCTCGACTTTGTGAAGCTGATGTTGGTAAGGTACTTGGCTTAACTGCTTCTGTGCCACTTGCTCGCCAAGTTGGGGCAATGTGGCAGCCATCGCGTTTTTTGAATTGATAATATCCTGTTTATCTGTTTCTAATTCGACTTCATCTATAGAGTTATTCTCAGAGTCAGCAGCTTTCGCGTTTTTTGCATTGATAAAAGCCTGTTTTAATTCGATATCATCTATAGAGTTATTCTCAGAGTCAAAGTCATTAAATATATTATTGAAAGTAGTTGCTTCAAAATTTTCACTGCAGTTCTGGTTTCTATATGATTGCGTGCAAGAAGGAAGTATTTGGGAAATGTAGCTGGTTGCTAACACATTTTGCGGTTTATAGTCACTGGAATTACCTTCTGAAGTCATGCTTGAGTCAGTTGAAGCAATTCTAGCAACTTTAGATTCTGTTTGACTAAGTTCCTTTTCTTGAATGAGAATTTGGCCATCCATGTTTTTCCTTTTAAGATTTGGCCTATACATTCGGAGGCTTTTGAGTGTATCAGGATTAGATGTTGATGGAGAAAGAGGAGAATTATCTCCATTTTCATCACTATCTTCAGTAGATATTGGAGCATTGTCACTCACAGTAGAGTTTTCTTCTTCAGGATTAAAATCTATATCCAAATATTGCTCATACCCCTTCTCTATTCCTGGATATTCATCAACTGGTTCTCGTTTTATGTTAACGAACTTACTGTAATCCAGTTTAATTTTAATAAATTTAAGATCAGTAACAAAATTTTTGGTTTTTTCCGGATCATTGAGATAGAATATACAGAGCTTGTGTAAGTCATCCCACGACAAACCCCAGCTTAAGATTTGATATCTGGGATTAGATAAACATACTACAAGATCATCGCGAATCGTCAGTGGTATATCCAGCAGACATTCTTGCAAAGCTTCTTGCAATGGAATGTTGTTAACGCGACTAGGATCAGTTAAAACTGGTTCACACATCCATTGTCCACATTCAGGACATATCCATTGTAAATCATCCGTAGGTTCTACTGGAGGATGTAATCTGCATTTCCATTCTCCTTGGCCTGTTGAAAAAAAAAAAATAAAGACATTATTTATTTATTAGATAATTTGCTCTTTGAGAAAAACGAAAGATTTCAGCTGTGAAAGTTTATAAAGAATTACAATGTTTGGAAGTATCAGGTATTTTACAGAAATCTTTCGAGTAACTAATTTTAAAAAGTGTATTTGCAGAAGAACAGAAGTATATTAAATTCCATTTTACTGCTAAACAATAGCGTTTTCAGCGGGGATAAGAGTTTGGTGTTGGCCTAGTTTTTTTGTTGAAGTATTTTGGGAAAATAACAATAACATAAACTACCATGGGGGCAATGAACATAGTAACAACAATTTTTGTTTGAAATGTGAATAAGAATTTGATGAGGATTCCTACACATGTGATTCATGTTTGCGGTGAATAACTACAAAAGAATTGTGCAAATATATCATCAGAATCCCAAGCGTGATGCATGAAATTGAAAAGTAGAGTGCTATGTTACCTATGTGATGGATTTAACCTACTTGTAGCAAGAATGCCCTACCTGGTGAAATAATTAGAAGACACGAGAAAGGAGTTAGATATTTTAAAAACCAACGACCAAAAAAAATACAAATAAATATGTTTCAAAACAAAACAAATGAAGAAAAAAACACTAAAACATGCTACGCCCACAAAAATTAATAAACCAAAGCTCAGAATAAAGTAGTAGAGAAGTTCAAAAACCCATAAATCCTACCAAACTAAATGTGGGAATAAAGGACATCAGAGAAACCATAATTGGATGAATTGTTTAAGTGTGTTACAAAACAGGAAATGAAGAGGCTTAATGTGGCAGCAGCACCCCATGTACATCCGCACATTCAGAGACATCTAGCAGCCTTTACAAATATTAAATGAAAACAGAAGAAATCTAACAAAAATGGTAGCACCCCACCAACGTTACAGAAGGTTGCACCTAATTCGAAATATGAAGTGTAGGTGCCTAAATGTTCAAAATTAAATATCCAAAAAGTAATATGGAGCTGTAATCAAAATAATAAAAAGTAATCACACAATCAAAGAATCCAAAATAAGAAATTTAAAGAGTTAAAAAATGCTGTAGCATTGTGGTGAATTTGATCATTGAGACATAAGATACCCTTATTCTTAAAAGCACAATTAATCTGAAATACTTCATAAAGATCCAGTAATAAGCCTTTATTCATAAAATTAAGAAATTTGAAATCATTTTCAGGATTGAAGTCGTGTTTATGAAAAACCACGTTTCGCAAAATTACATCTGAATCTGTCAGGTATGACGTTTCTATTAATGGCTTTATTTAATGTCTGAGATATGTTCTTTCAGTCTAACAGAAAAGTTCCTGCTTGTTTGACCTATGTATTGAGCATTATCAGATGGGCAGATCAAACAATAGACTCCAGGGCTGGGACTCTGTAACGAATAGAAAAAATTTCTCTATTTCTATTGACGTCCCCCCTCTATTGATTTCGAAATAAGAGAAGACAGTGCCATAGCGATAGGGATAACGATGTCTATTCGTTACGGAGTCCCAGTCCAGATCTTTCATCAGAGCAGGTACTGGGGCGGGATTCTGTTAACGGCTAGCAATCGTTATCCCTATCGCTATGACACTTTGCTGCTTCCCTCTTTTCGAAATCAATAGAGAGGGGCTGCTAGAAATCGCTTTAAAGGTGCAGAAAATACTGCACATCAGAATTGGCTCAAATTTGGTCTAAACATTCTTTGATCTAGTGGCATGGACGAGATGAGTCGAGAATCCGCTCTCTCTCGTCTTGTCTAGAAGGCTCGAGAGAAAATGAGTCACAAGTCTCGATGAGAGACCCTCGAGTTTTGACGCATAGTAAGTTAATTTCGTCTCCGAGGTCAAGAAAATGTTGGAGATTTATGATTATTTTAACAGATTTTTTTCTCTGATCAAGTAAATCTTGATCTGCATAGTCACGTTAACAAGCAGCGTTAGCTAGGCTGTATTATGGCACTGACATTGTAAGGTGTTTATTTTGCAGTTGTAATGAGGCGAGCACTAGGAGAAATGTTCGAAGCTATCCACATCAAGTGAGTATCGTTATGATGGCGATCTCTTTAGTCTCTCTTGACTTTGTTTGATAAGCAAAGTTAGTTAAGCTTAAATAGTGCAGATATCAAAAGCCTCAAAATATTGTGGCACGTTCGCCAGCATGTACAGAATCTAACTTGGAATCTAGAAAATACTGGCTTTATTCGGGCAAAAAGATTATCGCGTTTATTCTGGAATCTACACGAATAGATTGCGGATATATAAAGGCTGGTATTAGTTAGTAGTTTTCAAGTTTGAGATTGGCTGTGATTGTGATACGTTTTAAATAAGTGATTATTGTAAAAGTTGTACATAGTTAAGTTGTTTGAGTTTATTAGTGAAGTAGTTAGTGTCAGAGTGTGTAGTAACGTGGAATAAATTATTGCTGTGTTAATTGGACTCAGATTTTGGAATAAACGAACCCAAGATTTCTGTCACGCAAGCCAGAGTCGTGACAATATTGAAATTGGCAGAGTACAACTGAGACAAGCCCAGAGCTTTAAATATCTGGGAATACAGAATGGAATGTTTGAAAAAATGCAAAAATAGCAGACACGATAATTTGCCTATCAAAATGTTGCAGAACATAGCTCACACCCATTAAGCCTGATAATTATTCTGTCTCGAAACGGGAATCTATCCTGGTTTATTGAAAAATGCTATTGTTAAAGCAATTTATAAAAAAGGGAAAAAAAGACGAGGAACAAAACTATACTGATATCACTGCAGTCTAATATTGGTAAAATCTTTGAAACAATAATAAACACTAGATTCATTAGCTTTTTGAAAGGGCACTCGATACTATCTAATAATCGAAAGGGCTTTGAGAGGAAAATCTACAATGAGGGCTATTTACCAGGCATTATCATAATATGTGTTAAATTTATTAAACAATAAAAATATAACCATAGCCATAGTATGCACCTGTCAAAGGCGTTTGACAATTTTAATCATAATTAGCTTTGTAAGAGGCTAGAAAACCCACTTATAACATCAAATGGTTTCACTTCATTTCATTATGTTACAAATACTGAAGTGGGAAGAAGGGTGAATTTACCTAGTATTGAATCTCTACTAATGCAAAGACAACTGAGATCGGTGGGACATGTAACCTGTATGAATGATCAAAGGCCTCTCAAGCAAATTTTATACTCAGAGCTTTTACATGGGCGTAGAGACCAGGGTGGTCAAAAGTTAGCCACAACGACACAATAAAGAGACATACATACATACATATGACCAGTGCAGGCATTCTACATAGTCTAAAATTTTAATTTGTGAGCCCAGGCCGCATATTCATTTTCTAACGATGTAATAGGACCTTCGGCTGCAGTCGTGTTCGTTCGAGCACAGCGTAGGCAAATTATGATTACAAAGGACTAACGGCAGTTGAGAGCTTATACTATATACCTACAATACTGTAGAGACAGGACAAGTCATTCATAAATCACCAAATAGTTTGACCTAACATCAACAAGCGCTTAGAATTACTTATCAATGAGTGCAGCCGAAGATTTGTTGTGGTGGGAGAACGCTGCAGCCAACAGGGGCTGTTCTTTGACGTCCAGCAGTAGCCGCGTGTGTGTCTATCCTTGTTTTGCATAAGAAGTTATAAAAGGACATTGAATAAATACAATGGATCTATTTTACTACGCGGAGCAATGTGGTGTTTTTAATGTGCATCAATATTGGAGTAAAACAAACAGGCACCTTGTCCTCTCTTTACAGTATTGTAGGTATATAGACTAAGGTTGAGAGCCCGTCTGGCTATCGCAAAAATATTCTCTAAATTCAGAACTTGTGTGAACGCGAAAAGCGATGAAACAAATGAAGAAACATCTTTATTAAGAGTTTGAAAATGATTCATTATGTGTATTCAAAGGCCCCAGAAATACAACCCTAACGAATTTAGAATAAACAACCAAACAAGAGTAAGTTGACATTTATTATTATCATCTTTTCCTTTCTTTGAATAAAAGACAATTATCGGACCTAATCAACAATAAAATGCTTGTACGTCGTCTGGTTGCGATGCTCATGTTCTGCTAACGCTTGCCTGACAAAGACCCTACAAACTAAATAACAAGAGCGACGAACGAACATTAGTGTTTTAAAGGAGGCCAAAACAACTAGCATAGAAGAAGCCCTCATCATTAACCATCAACTTCGCTGAACAGGTCACCTCGACCGCACTCCCGAAACACGTATTTCCCGACAGATTCAGATTCACTACCCTTAACTGGAAGAGGGAAAACGAAAGAAAGTCACATGTTTTTTTTTTGTCTACTTTTGTTGATTTTTTTTTTAATGGTTGCTATCACTCGAAGTTAAATTGTATAATTGTTAGCATTATGCTATTAATTATTAATTTATTAATTAAATAGAGCATTTTTTTCTTGCAAAAAATAATCATGCATTGGCGAACAATTTTTTACATCTTGGGGATGCATTTGCATAATTTATTAATTATTTAGAAGCAATATCCTCTTGAATATTAGATACTTCATTGATTTCATATAAAATTGAAATTAAATATAATATTGTACTTGTCAAAATGAAAAAAGGACCACTTTCATGATTACTTTTTATTCATCTGTAAACTGCAGCATACTAACAAACCAAGGTGATAAATGTTTTCTCGAACAAACTAAATAAACTGAATACTTAATTGAGTTTCTAGATTTACCAAAATTAATGAAATTGAAGGTTTTTTTAAAAGTAGTCCTTATTTGGTTTTGACTAGTTTATGTACGAATAAAAGTATCAACAAATTGTGCATACCAGTATCCAGAACTTTATAGCCACTTCTCCTTGCCATATCTAGAATCCTATTGAAGCGATGCTGCGTAGGGTAGATACTAAAAGCTGTCAAAACAATTTCACGGGCTACTTTAACTTCATGATCTAGCAAATCACCCAAATATTCAAAAGATTGCGCCAATCTTGCACTTGTGTTCTTAATTTTAGCAATTTCATTGGTTTGTTTTAAACGTTCAATCTCATTCATGTCAGCTGTAATCGCCCTGATAAACATCTCTATGGCAAAGTGAAACATTTTGGAACCCGAACCCTAAAAAAATTGAAAAGGGGGAGTAAATCTAAATGATTGTATGCACTTTTTAGTTAGAGTTTTCCTGGCAAATGTTTTCCTTACGCGATCAATTTCTGAACCAAGCACAGATATTACAAATTGTTGCCGTTTAGTTTGTAAATGTTGGTTTTCTGTAATTGTATTAATTTCAAAATGAAGTGAGGGCACTCTTGGTAATTAGACCCTACTACAGCCTGCTGGAATACTTTGAAGATAGACTAAATTAATTAATTGTGATGATGTGTGATAATGTGTTCCTGATTCCTACTATTGTTTTTTAAGTTTTTATTTTTAGGTTTTTTATTATGTTTTTTGTAGATTGAAAATGTTGAAAACTTGACAGGAGCACATTTTTTTTGTTTTTTTTTGATTTCTTGGTTTTTTTTTGATTTCTTGTTTTTTTTTTTGATTTTTTTAATTTTTTAATTTTGTTAACATGTGTTTTTATTATGTATTCGTATTTTATTCTGTTCTAATGTGTTTTAAATTATTGATAACTATATTGAGGCGTTTTCGTGTGATATAAAAACTGTTTAGTATTTAGCAAAAAAAAAAAAAAGTACATTTAAGTATTAGCTTTGTCAATAAGTTTAAGTACTTCGAACAATAAAGCACAGTTCTATTCTATTCTATTCTATTTCAATTGATGGCATAAGAAAAACCTGCACCGGAATAACTAAAGGTACCTACCTCTCTGTGGATAACTTCACACATAACAAACAAGCCCGCTGCATCTGCTAACTTTGTGAAGTTTCTCACAGACAGAATAAAATGTTCTAGAAGAGTTTCTGTATTTGATAGTTCCAAGTACGTTTTTAGTAAATATATTTGAGCTTGTTTTGCATCGCCCTCACACGTCAAAGCTTTGGCCAGAAAAAATCTACAGCCATACATAGCAATTTTCTCAAAATTACACCATATCTTTGCAATCTTTACACGTTTCCGTGTGAATCTTCTGACTAGCAGTACACCCTCTTCTAATGGGAGTTCTTTCAATTCCTTATTAATCATATGTTTCTCTTGATACTTGTATAAGAGCGCGATATGAATATCAAAAATAAACCAAAGTTGCGTGTCTGTTGCGTTCAAACTCATATTTTGAAGAGTAGCTTGTTTTTTATATTTTAAATAGTTAGTAGATAGATTGAGGGCCAGATCTTGACAGCGATTTTCGCAAAGCTTCTTTAAACGGACTGATACAAGATATATAGTCTCGACACAAAAGAATTCCATTTCTGAAATTATAAAAAAATATAATGTAAGCTATTTATGCGGCTATTTAAAAAAACAAAAAAAATACCTTCTGGACCAATTTCGACATCTCTAATATTGATAAGCTTGTACAATACAGGATGTTCCCACGGACTTCTGACCACATCAGCAAGTTTTTCGCAACGGGATGAAAAAGCATTATTACGACTCGCCAAGCCTGCCTGTGCCTCCCCAATATATTTCACTAGATCATCGCAAAAAGTGCCTGCAATTATTTATTGTTGAAATTAATTAAGTCCATATATTTTTGTCAAAAAAATAATTTTTCTTACCTTTAAGGCTTCTCCATTTACCATTAAGGACAATGTCCAAAGCATGCAATTTGGCCCAATCAACAATCTTTATTATATTCTGAATGCGAAACTTTGAAAAATCCAACTCTGAAACGCTTTTCCATACTTCAATTAGAGCTTGAACTTTCCTCTCAAAGGCTTCTGATTTATTATTTAGTATATCATCAAGTTTCTGTGAAAAATAAAAAAATCAGCAAACAATAATTACAGAACACCTTTAACCTAAGAAGTTAATTAGGCAATTCAGTAACCTGTCAAAAATGGCGCCTGGTTGGCACACAATAAACAAATCAAATCACCTGACTTTTTAATTGAACATGTGACAGCTGTCAAAAATTTTCATCTAAACTACTCAACAATAGGTTCGTTCCAAGCATAAATTTCACCAATTTTCGAGACGCGACAAGTTTTTTATAAATTACCGGAAAAATATGCCGTTTTCACCATTTTTGGAAGTGATTCCTTGTTAATCATCTGCTTTACACTAAAAAAATATAGAATTTGAGTGTTTGTTTTTATACAGGGTGATATAGGAAGTGCGGTAAAAATTCAAAATTTTTGTTGTCACCCCATTTCTACATTTATTTTTATTTATTTTTTCTAGGCATACCCGAATGATTATTAGTTCATCCCTCGAACCGTTTTTGGTTTATTCTTATATCTTTTCTTGTTTAAAAAATAATGCAAATTTAGTATTATAAGTAATGACAACCAGAGCTTCAAACCCATCCTGAACAAGTTTAAGTAGTAATTTAGGATCCGCTAGTTTAAATTTACTTGCTATGATCACAATTGAAACTAACTGACGTAAAAAAGCTTTATACAAAACATACAGGGTGTGCGAGAATACTTTAAACTTGAAATTTCTAGTTTTGCATAATTTTGCCATTTTCTACAGAAAAGAAAGTGTCAAGGACGGAAAATAAATTTTGAGTTACTTTGAAGGCTTTATATCACTGCTGCAATGTAATTCCAAAAACAAATTCGAGGTTTTTTTTGTCATCCATTTTTTCACAAAGTTACGTCATAATTTAAACCTATAATAAAACAATTATTTCCTCAATTTCTTGATATTTACTGCCATCAACAGGTCCTGAAAGAATAATTATTTCTACTTGCTAACATTTAAGACGAATTTTTACTTGTGTACAGGGTGTCCCCAAATCATATGCTTTTTAGATGATGCCACTTACTGTATGATCGGTTTTACAAAATAAACATAATAAATACCTACTTTTATTACCTAAATTTCGAAATTCAAAAGAGACTACACATTCACTCGGTAATTGATTTGGGGACACCCTGTATACAAGTAAAAATTCGTCCAAAATGTTAGCAAGTGAAAATATTTATTCTTTAAGGACCTGTTGATGGCAGCAATATCAAAGGAAACAATTGTTTAATAGGTTTACAAATTATGAAGTAACTTTGTGAAAAAAATGGATGACAAAAAAACCTCGAAATTGTTTTTTGGAATTATATTGCAGAAGTGATATAACGCCTTCAAAGTAACACAAAATTTATTTGCCGTCCTTCACACTTTCTTTTCTGTAGAAAATGGCAAAATTATGCAAAACTAGAAATTTCAAGTTTAAAGTATTCCTGCACACCCTGTATGTTTTGTATAAAGCTTTTTTACGTCAGTTAGTGTTAATTGTGATCATAGCAAGTAAATTTGAACTAGCGGATCCTAAGTAAATGTGTCCGTATCATATGTGGCTTGGGCTACAGAGAGGATTGTCGCCAGTATTTTGTGACTTTGAATATTCTCACTTTGCCATGTATCTATGTGTTGGAGTGTCTGTTGTATGTAAAGCAAAATGTCCATCTTTATAAATTGCACCTGGATCAACATAATTATCCTACCAGAAATAATGACAAACTTTTTCCGGGCTTTGGCCGACTTGGGAGAACTAGAAATGGCACCAGGTATCTCGCAATAAAATTTTTCAATTTATTACCACCAAATATAAAAATTCTCAGCATCAGCCAGTTCAAGGTGAGAGTAAAGACTTTTTTGATAAAAAATGCTTTCTACTCATATGAGGAGTATTTTGCTTCTGATTTTAATATGTAACCATATGTTTTCTATTTTATTATGTAACCATTTTTGTTATATTTTTTGTGTGACCATGACCATGTATTCTATTTTATTATTTAGATGTTTAGATTAGAAGTTGTCATTTTAACATGTGTGTAAAGATGGATTATGTAATATCAATTGTTAGCTATTAGTGAAAATATAATAATAATAACTATAATTGTGAACGTATAAATATACTATATATAATACTTGGGTAATGTTGAGAAATTTTCCGACATTCACCCTCACATTTACCTAACTGTACTTTTGTCTTGACTTGTAAAAATGTGTTTTATACATATGTTATTACCAATAAATTATCTTATCTTATCTTAAGTTACTGCTTAAACTTGTTCACAATGGGTGTCATTATAACACTAAAGCATCATTTTTCAAACAAAAAAAGATATAAGAGAAAATCTAAAAACGGTTCGAGGGATGAACATAATAATCATTTGGGTATGCCTAGAAAAAATAAATAAAAATAATTGTAGAAATGGGGTGCAACAAAAATTTTGAATTTTTACTTCCTATATCACCCTGTATAAAAAAAACACTCAAATTCTATATTTTTTTGTGTAAAGCAGATATCATATCACCAACGCTTTTTAAAATATACTTAGAGCAAGCGCTTAAGGGGTGGAAAAACAAATGCAGACACATGGGAATACCGCTCAATGAATACAATTTATATACTTTAAGCTTTGCAGATGATCAAGTAGTAATTGCACAGGACTATGATGACCTAGAGTACGACACGAAAACTGATAGAGGAATACGAGAAATGGGGTTTGGAAGTAAATCTAACTAAAACAGAATATATGACTATAGGAGGTGAACAGCAAACTCTGAAATTGAATAACGGACAAGAAATAAAACAATGTACTGAATACAAATATTTGGGCATGAAAATCTCACGTGAGGGAATCTTAGACCAGACGAAGCAATTAAAGACCGGAATATACAGGGACGAAAGGCAATATCCCTACTAAATGGTGTACTGTGGGACCAAAATATCAACAAAGATAACAAAACTAGAATATACAACACCATAGTCAAAAGCATAGTCACATATAGCTCAGAAGTCTGGCCACTAAAGAACAGAACCGCAAAAATGCTGGAAGCAACTGAAATGGACTTTTGGAGGAGATCCGCAGGCAGGTCAAAGATGGAAAGGATAACAAATCTGAGAATAAGGGAGATTATGGACGTTAAACACACAATAGTAGATGATATAAAGGACAAACAGCTAATTTGGTTCGGACATGTACAAAGAATGGCAGATACAAGGATACCCAAGCAAATTATTGAGTGGAAGCCAGGGGGAAGAAGATGACGCGGCAGACCGAGAAGAAGCTGGAGAAGTGGAGTAGACGAAGAAATGAGAGACAGAGGCTTAGAAGAGGATGCCTGGATTGACAGAGATGGTTGGAGATCGGGAATCGGAAGACGTAGAACGTTATAAACCGATAATTATATACCGGGTGGGCCAGCGAAAACGAAACAAGGTCAATATCTCGTATTGATCGTTAATTGAAAAAAATCGCTCGGACCCGTCGATTTTTATTCGGAGGGGGAAATCTTTTGCACATATTTTCAATGTTGTCACTTCAACCCTCTCGCGGGGGTAAGCGCCAACCCCTAAATCTTCAATGGCAGTAGGGGTCGAGCGATACCTCATTTCAAAGGTCATCGAATTCTCTTTTCAACGGTGCCTAGTTTTTTGAATTTACTGAGTTTTTTTTTTCAAAAGATATTTAAAATTAGAATGTATTTAGTTGAATTTTATTGAGTGATGGAAAAAAACTGGACTTTAACCTTGTGATTTCAAGTTGGATAGCACACGACTATAAAAAAAAATACATAAAATCACTTCTTAAGTAAAAATTGTTATAACTACAAAATTGAAAGTGCTCAAAATGACTAAGTAAAACAGTACTAGTTCCGTCTATTTTTCAATGCGTTTTCACGTAAACCACTGCATCAAATTCAAAAAACTAGGCACCGTTGAAAAGAGAATCCGATGACCTTTAAAATGAGGTATCGCTCGACCCCTACTGCCATTTAAGATTAAGGAGTTGGCGCTTACCCCCGCGAGAGGGTTGAAGTGACAACATTGAAAATATGTGCAAAAGATTTCCCCCTCCCAATAAAAATCGACGAGTCTGAGCGATTTTTTTCAATTAACGATCAATACGAGATATCGACCTTGTTTCGTTTTCGCTAGCCCACCCTGTATATAGATGATTAACAAGGAATCGCTTTCAAAAATGGTGAAAACGGCATATTTTTCCGTTTATTTATAAAAAAAGTTGTCGCGTCTCAAAAATTGGTGCAATTTATGCTTGGAACGAACCTATTGTTGAGTAGTTTATATCTGAACTGAGTCCTTGCAGATGATGAGGTAACCCTCAAGGCAATCTTACATATATGTGAGATCGTTGAAATGTAACCAAACATATTCTAACCTCATGAAAATATCAAAATGCTAGCTGGTTGGTAAAGTCAGGTGGTTTGAGTTGGTTCCCTACAGTTCATTTATTCCAAGTTATCATTACCATTTTAAATTATTTCCAACAAACTAGATAAGTTTTTAAAAAAAGTAAGTAATAATAATTATCAACAGAAAAATATAATTTAAAAACTTTAGTTTTTTTACCACTTGCAGAGAAAAAATAACTCACCTATTAAACATTATTTAAAAAGGTAAGTAATGTCTAGCCTGTTTATAGGTATTACTTAAAAAATCAAGACAAAATAATTTCGAAAATGTATGCATAAACCATACCTGGAAATAATAAACTTCGATCTACTTAATTTAAGCAAAAAAACTAAACAGGAAATTATCAATAGTGATTTCATACTTAGTTCCTAGTTTGTGAATAGCCATGTAAAAGGGTAAAAGCTCGGGTAAAAGTAAAAGTTATGGAATGGAGTAGTTATATATGTATTTGCAAGCTCTTAATTAATTAACATAATTAACTACTTAATATCTAGTAGTTGAGCCTTCCATTAATGAAAATTTGAATGTTGTCAGAAACTTTGGAATTTTTTATCTGAAGCTAAAGTATGACCTTCGAGATGACCTT